GACCGGACAGACAACCCCTGGGACCCCCTCTGGACGATGGTAACAGGAAACGAACCCATCCGGCTCAGCGAGATGAAGGACCCAAGCTGTTTTGGCAACGTCATCCTCCCTCTCGCCGGTTCCAGTAGCCCCTTTTGGACTTTCGTCATCGACCGCACCGACCGCGAGTCATGCAGCGAGCGCTTCCTCATCGACTACCTCGTCGGTCGCACCCTCGACTTTTACAACATTACCGCCCGCCGCGAGACCGAGGTCCACTATGACCCTGTCGTAACGATCATCGATCGAAAGAAGACCCGCGTCTTTGCCAATCTTGAGGAATACGTGGCCAAGCTGAAGGAGCGCAATCCTAAGGTCACGTTCAACGTCGTAGACTTCGCCACTCTCTCTATGCAGGAGCAGATCCAGCTGGCCCAATCCACGGACGTCCTCGTCGGACACCACGGCGCTGGGATGACGCACGTGCTCTTCCAAGCCCCCGGTGCAGCTGTCGTGGAAATCCTGCCGCCGCCAAAGTTCCCCATGGTTGGATTCAGACACCTCGCTCTCATGCGGAGGATAGCTCACTTTTCCGGACACTCCATGTGGCAGCAGGAATGGGAGCAGGCAGTCAACGGGACACCGATCCCTGAAGGCTGGAAACGACCCGTTTGGGATGAAGATTGGCAGACGCGGCCTAAGACTTACATGCTTGAGGAAGATTTTGTGGGCATCGTCGAGGCAGCAATTAGGAATCAGCGGTATAAATCGTCGGAAATTTGGGAATAGAACGGTTTGGAATTTAGGGTTTAGAAGGGCAGGGCTCAATGGACTGTTACGGAAATAGAGTTTGTTAATATGATGCTCCTTAAGCCAAGCAAACCCACCGCCTCCAGGTTGATACTAGGACCCAACAGTTCCACTCCGGCTCTTCGAGCTCTCTTAATGCTGTCTTCCCCAGTTGATACTAGCCGAGTGATACTCTATCCCAGGGTCTTCGACTGCCATTTACTGTTAGCACATGCGTGGTAGTTTCAGAGCTATCAATCCAGCGAGTTACACTGAAACTTCAGACGAGAAAAGAGCACGAGTATTTGAATTGATATTGAACTACTAAGTCTTAACTACTGACATCAACTCGAAACCCTCTCTGGGGCATTGGGCAACGAGAACCTTCAGACCCATTCTGTGACGAGCAAAAGGAAGAGAGCACCCATTACCCGTCGGCCAGGGTCGGCCCAGAAATGAAGCCATAAACAAGACCAGTCTAGTACACAACCAGGATTCACCATTGCGTACAGGTTCAGACCGGGGGGTGCGTTTCTCCTCGGGAGAGTTAATATTTGAGGCAGGAAAAGGAATGTTGGTAACTTGGCGGACTTCAGGGCCAACGCACACTGATGTCGACTTCACCCCTGATTCCGGCGCACATAAGCTCATAAGCGTCGGTAGAGGGCAGCATTCCCAAGCCATGGATGGAAAACGGCCACCTCCTATGCTTAACTAGAGTTGAGGGACGCATAAATTATTCGTTTGTGCTATTTTATGCAACATTCGCCCCAACGCTGGACCCTCCATTTCATCCAATCAGGTCCAATTGTCACAGAGCCTTGGAGCTGGAGCTTACCTAATAACTAAAGCCCCGATAATGCGATTTTTCCGAATCTGAAGCTTTCCAGCTCGGTTGAGCAGCTCACAACTCAATCAGGCGATTCTGAAATCAGCAAGACCCCCTACTCCCCTTTGCAGCCATGACCCCAATTTCTCGGCTGTCCAGATACCTTCTGGATGGCCACCTGTCCCGTAACGGCTGTCTCGTCCGACAACGCGTATCTAGCTCCTCTCCCCTCTCACGCCAGCTTCCAACCCGTCGAGCTCTCCTCCACACGACACCCCCCGTGGCTGCTAGTGCTGCTACTACTACCCCTACACCCCCGAAGCCGACGCCTCTACGCAAGAAGTTGAAGGATGAAGCGAAACGATTAAAGAAAGAGGGAGGAAAGGCCAAGAAAAAGAGCGACAACCAAACCGTCGATGGCTGGGAACTGACCGTCGGCATCGAGATCCATGCCCAGCTCAACACATCCCGCAAGCTCTTTTCCCCCGCGGCAACCTCATTCAACGACGATCCAAACAGCCACGTCGCTCTCTTCGACGTCGCCATACCGGGAAGCCAGCCGTTGTTCCAACAAGAGACGCTGATACCTGCCCTACGGGCGGCGCTAGCCCTCAACTGCGATGTGCAGCCAGTCAGCCGCTTCGATCGGAAGCACTATTTCTGGTGGGACCAGCCCGCGGGTTACCAAATTACCCAATACTATGAGCCGTTCGCGAGAAACGGACACATTACGCTCTTCGCGAGGGACGGAATCGCGGCCGAGGATGGACAGGGTGTGGAGGTGCGGATAAAGCAGATCCAGATGGAGCAGGACACGGGCAAGACGTTGGCCCAGCCGGGAGATAGCCATTGGATCGATTTTAATCGCGTTGGCATGCCGCTGATTGAAATCATCACCGAGCCAGATATGCACCATCCCCGCACGGCAGCTGTGTTCGTGAAGAAGGTCCAGGCGGTGCTCAACTCTGTCGATGCCTGTGTTTCGGGTATGGAAATGGGTGGTTTGCGTGCCGATGTGAACGTTTCCGTTAGGCGGACCGGGGATGTGAATATCCCCCTCGGCACGAGGACTGAGATCAAAAACTTAAACACCATCAAGGCTGTCGAGGACGCAATCATCGCAGAACGAGATCGCCAGATTGCCGAGCTCGAAGCTGGTGGGAAGGTTGCCGGAGAGACGAGAGGTTGGACTGTGGGTTCGAAGGAGACGAGGAGGCTGAGAGGAAAGGAAGGGGAGGTCGACTACAGGTACATGCCTGACCCGGACCTCCCACCTCTCATCATCTCTCGAGATCTTGTCGACGACCTAAAGCAGTCTGTCTCTACTCTGCCCGACACCGAAGTCGACGCTCTCGTTGGCGAATACGGTTTAACTGCCAAGGATGCGCTCTCGCTCATGGCACTCGAAAACGGGGGGAGGGTCGAGTTCTTCTACAACGTCGTCGACAAGTTTAAGGCCCTCCTCCTTGAAGACGAAGATTCCGATCTTCCCGACCTCAAATCGTACTCGACCCTTGCCGGCAACTGGATCCTCCACGAACTCGGCAAGCTCACGACCGAAAAGGGTGCCGTTCAGGGCGACGAGCTCATTATCAACGAGCTCCACATCTCTCCCGACGGTCGCTGCGAAAAAGTCCCCGTCGACGACCTCGCCGAGCTCCTCCACCTGCTCTACTGCGGAAAGATCACCGGAAAGGTCGCCAAGCAGCTCCTCATTTCCCTATACAACGGCGACCTGGCCGAAGCGGGCGGCGTTACGGCCTCGATCGAGGCACACGATCTCTGGTTCCACGAGCTTTCGGAGGAGGAGTACGCCGAGCTAGCGGATGCCATCATCGCCGACAACTCGGACGTGTTGCACGAGTTTAGGAAGAAGAGGGCGCAGTATCCTCAGGGGAAGCTGATGTTTTTGGTGGGTAAGATGATGCGCGAAGGGGCGACGGAGAGGATCGATCCGTCGAGGGCGGAGGCGGTGCTCAAGGCTAAGATTGCCGCGCTTGTCGAAGAACCAGTCGAGGTGTAAGTTGGGCACTCGGTACAGTGTGCCGAGAACCCGTGTGATAGAATTTCTCCTGTAATAATAATACCACAGACTTGGATATATGAGGGTCTATCCTCGAAGACATATCTATTCCATTCATCCTCACCACCACCACTTTTACTACAGCAAGGCTTGCCTTCTTCGCTGGTCTTCTCCGAAGATTTACGCCCCAACAGGACCTAAATATGAACTTTCGAACCACGTACTCCTTTCAACATGGAGGACCATGTCCACCTCCGGCTACGGTAGACACAACCGCTGAGACTACGCAAGGAAGCAGTGGCGTGGATGAGCCGTAAGAGGTCATTTCTTCAGCCAACGGCAAGGATCAAGAGCCTTGCGGAAATAGGGCCGAGTGCGATTGAACGTGAAACTGGACTGGGAAAGGCGCGTGCCTGCTTGGAAGGACGTGGATACTACAGCAAGACTGGGTATCGATGGAATTTTCGGGTTCGCAGGATCTGGAAAGACGGAAACGATTGCTGTGGCGACGACGGGGCCGTCAGAAAACCCAAACATCGCCATCGCCATGGTGGACGGCTCGGCGCCAACCCTACACCCCAGGCAGACAATCACTTCAAGGACAATGTGAAACGGGGCGACGACACCGAATTCAAACCTATTGTGTTCGCTCCTGAAGACATAGAATCGGCAGCTCGAGGGGAAACTGTTATACAATTACCTTGCTATCGCGCACGAACCCATGCCAGGCTCAAACGGAGGGAATCATTGGTGCATATACCTTCGCGCGTCAGAGACGACATCCATTCGAATGGACCCCCAGCCTACCAATATCCCTGGCACCCATAGTTCCCGGAGGGTTTAAAGCCAAAATTATTATTTCCGACCTCGAATATCTATGTTCAAATCAGGCTTGCCATATCAATGCCGTTTCCGTGAACTTGAGCTTGATGAAGCCGACAGGGAAGGCCTGTCTCTCAGTATCATCTGTTTGCTCTCCACCGGTGGGCAGGTCAAGATTTGCCTGGACCTTGATGGCGTCGAGGCGCAGTGGCTTCCGCAACAGTACGAATTCGATGATACCCACGGAGGGTGTCGAATGTGGACATTCGACCCCGTGAAATTATTTTTGGATGCGGGGTTATCGACCTGTTCTGCGGAGAAAATCAATCCACCCCTTCGCGGTTCTTCTCGGTGCTCCTTGGAGCTGGAGGCTGAGAAGCTCCGTGCTTCATTCCTTAGCTTCATCGATTGCAGTTGTAATGGGGTGGTGCACGGGTAGCTAAGCAGCGGGATCAATAGAGAATAAATCCAATTCTAGAAGAGTGTATATATTCTCGCTAGGAGTCTCTATTCTAAAATCTACGTTTTGTCTATGTATGCCAATCCCAAAACCATCATCTACAGGGCGGGCTTGCTCAACTTGCTCGGCGAGACAGGCACGGGGAGCTTCCTCCTCAGCCTCGTGATCAACTCGAGGTAATCCTCCTCGTTCTCGTCTGTGATAATGCCATGCCTCACGAAGAAATCAATCATGACCAGACAGCAATTAGGCTTGAACTTGTACTCCATCATGGCATTCCGCACCTCCTCGACGCTCATGACCACGAAGTACTCCACCTCATCATCCTGGGGCTTCAGCTCCATGCCCTCGGGCATCTCCAGGTCGTAGAGGTACAGCACGACTGGCTGAATGGTGCCATTGCGCTTATTCTCCCCAACGTACGAAACCATGCCAACCGACTTGGCATTGTCCCTAACAAACTTGCCGTCCAACGACGCCTCCTCCCAGGCCTCTGCGACGATACAATCCCCCGGACTATCCGTCGCCTTGACCCCTCCCGCAACCGATGTATCCAACTTGCCCGGATACGTATAGATGTTCTTACTCCTCTGGGCAATCCAAATCTTCATATCCGCGCCCCGGCCAACATAAGCCGTCAAATGCGCGCCCCTACTCGCGACGCCAAAGATGGGTGACGGCCATCGTTCGAGCGTGACGAAGTGATTCGCGCCGATGATGCGGTAGGGCTCGCTGTGCTGGCGGCGGAGCTGGGGGAAGACGTCAGCTTCGAGGGCGGCGTCGATGACCTCTGCTAGGGAGGCGGAGAGGGCGGGACCGGGCGAGGCGCCGGAGGATGTGTCGGCGAGGTGGATGGTGCGGGCGGCATGGTCGATTTGGAAGGCGGATGTCCACGGGAGGCGGGAGACGTTGGCGGGGAGGAGGACGCCGTGGGGGCGGGGGTCGTCGGAGAGGTAGAGGCGGTAGAGGGTGGTGAAGTCGAAATCAGAGGGGACGCTGTTGGGTTTTTGGTTAGTAGAGTAGGCCTGGTTTGTTGCGATGATCCATGTTGCGACGAGGCGTTTTGCGAGGCAGCAATTCGGAATGGTTAAGTGCGGGGGAGGGGTAATAGTTGCAAGGCATCCATTGATTTGGCGGGCGAAGGCCGCGCAAGCAAGGACTTACTTGTCCACCACGTCGACGAGTTCCAGGAGGCTGGTTGCGCGTTGGGCCATTTTCTTTTGGATCGGTGCTCTCTCCTGTTTTCGAGGATGTGATTAGGTCTGGCGATTGATCAAATGTTGCCGCCAAAATCGGGTGGGGAGGGGTCAGAAGTACGCGCTGAACAAGATTCTGGAAAGCCAATTTCTATTGTCGTCGTCATGGATCTTGGGGTACTTGTACACTGTCTTTCTATGTGTCTTCCCATATATTTGAATGTATCTCGAACCTCGCCCTGATCCTGAGCTACATGCGATGAAACTTCACAAAACCTCAAGCTGTGTTTAACCTTGCATCACCTCAAAAGTGTCCCTCCGGCTCTCCCTCAATGCTTTTGTGTTGATCAATGATCAACCGAGATTCGGGCCAGGCTGGTCGCGCACCGCAAGCCTGTGGCTGCCAAAACTCAGACCAAGTAGGGCACCGTTCTTTCCTAATCCAACAACCAGTTTGTTCCCACACCAGTAGCTCAAACTCCAACGGTTCGCCTTGCTTCAGACCCCCTCTTCGCCTTTCGCATCAATGATGGTCCGCGTTCTATTCCGCGTTGTAGATTATGAAGCTCCTGCGGGGTCACTGGTCCAGAAATTGCTCACAGCCTCATAGGTGCTGAGTCTTGTGTCACATCACTGCATACTGCATTTATGGACACCATCGGAGGCAATATCTGGTCCGGCATCGGGTAGCCAATCGCTCGATGCTGGCTGACAGGAAGTCACCGTCAGGCACCAGACCCTTGGGTTCCGGCATTGGATTCACCGAGGAGGTAACGGGTTTTCATTGTTCGGGGTGGCTCATTACATCATCAATCGACCTTGTTATCTGTCAGCCCTCAGTATTTTACCGAACCTCACCCGAAGCCACTAGATATCTTTGGGACCGTTTTTCCATTTCGGGAAGTTGGTTCTTCCTAATGTAATACCGTCTTTTTCCATTCTACAACATACCGTTTGACCACTAACAGCACAAAATGGACCAAATAAACCATCTCAACACAGTGGATCTTTCACCACTCTCCGACAGAGAGATTGTCCAAATATTCCTCACCGGGCCTATTCTTTACCAGTATGGGAGTAGCAAGGTTGTCCGACTCTCTGATGATCTGCTGATAAAAGACGGAGCACCTGGCGAGGCCAGCACTGCACAATTTGCTGCTACATTGGGGATTCATGTCCCAACTGTCCGCCGTGTAATCAGAACAACCCTTCCTCATTCTACAAATCGCGAGCATTGGCTAATAGTGATGGACTATGCGAGAGGTACAGTTCTTGATCAACTATGGCCGACGTTAGGACCAATCGAACGTCGAAAGGTTACCAAACAAGTCGCCTCGCTCCTCCAGCGCCTACAATCTACCCCACTCAATAGTATGCCGCCAGGGCCAGTCGGCGGTACTGACGGCGAACATTGGGACGGGCCATTCTTTACAGCCTACGGTGCGGGGCCGTTTCACACGGTAGCAGAAATGGAAGACTGGTTCAACCACAAGATCGAAGTCTGCATTCAAGTTGGGGACATGCCTTCTACAACACCCCGCTTCCGCTTCGACACCCTCGTTCTCACGCATCAAGACGTGGCCCCGCGAAATATAATCGTTGAGGAAGGTTCTGGGCAGTTGATCTTAATTGACTGGGGAAGCGGTGGCATTTACCCTGCGGGATTTGAACAAGCAGCTCTTCTCCAACAAGGCCCCGGAAAATGGGATGTAGAGTTTTGCAAAGCGGTGATGGCAGAAATGCCAGACGGACAAGACATGGTGCCAAAACTGCTTAGCGGGATTACGTTTGCACTTACTACTGGAGTCCTTCTTTAAAGATTCGAGATGCCCCTTTCGATGAGTTTATTTCAGGCTGCACAGTGGTTCGACGTCCTCGTTGGGAGGCGCAAGGGCGCAGAGCTGGAACTCACTTGTCAGCCGCGCCGACGCGTTCCGGGAAAATTGGTTGCGTGTTGGGCCATTTTCCTTCAGATTGATCGATGTTTTCTGTTCTTTGGGTGGATGTGGTCAGGTCTATTGTGGGAATTGATCATAGATGTCGGCCAAAATCAGATGCGGGCGAGAGGAGCTGGAAGCAACATCGATCAAGATTGATGGTTAGATTGCCCTATTAATGATCATTGATTTTCTTGATTTTTCGTCGGTTAGATCTTGGAGTACACAGCTTTATGTGTATTTCAACATATTTAGATGTATCTCCAACGTCCGTCACGGAGCTGGGGTACAATGTGCCAGCCATTTTACCACTATCTCGACAGACTTCGTAATAAACGAATTGCTCAACCCCAAAGTGTCGGCGTCAAAGCGGGAACGGGACATCGGAGTTCACTAGGAGGCGGCTCCAAGAGTTCGCCTTGTCTGCGTTTTTAGTAGTGATGGGGGGGAGAACTCAGCCCCACGGCTGGCCTGGGTGCCCAAGCCTCGGGGGAAGCACCTCTAAACTACGATGAAGTACTGCGACGAATTTTGAAGAGTATTAAAGCATCGAGTAGGGGTATGGGTACGAACAAGCGTCAGCAATCTTAGAGTCCCCCCAAACTCTTTCGGCCAATGAGGGAATGGAAAGTTCTCATGTTTCCGACGGCGACCGTTCTCGAGAGGATTGATCAGAGCAGAAGTGAACAAGCAACAGTAGCGGGCCAGGTCAGGAAGGAAAATTCTATAAATACGGGAAGGGCATATCAGTTCAGGATGCTCGTGTAAATTATTGTGTCTAAGAGAAAGCCATCAAGCTCGCATGACCTCCTGCATCCATTGCCATTGCCCAGTGCCCTTGTATAAGTGTCGTGTCAGTTGTTCTTCCCCCAAACCCCAGCCCAGCAACATGCCCCAGTCTACTTGGTCCACCGAGGTGAATACCGACTCTGCTAGATCCGCGACCGAGACACGCCTCAGCCGTGAGGAGCGGAATGACCTGGCCAGGCGCAGGGTCGAGGATTATGTCCCCGACAACGTCTTTGGGCGCATCATGTTCAGCAATGAAACCAACCAGACGCCCGCCACCTCTACCCCGGATTCCGTCTCTGTTTCCGTCTCTGTTTCCGTCTCTATCTCCGTCCACGTCTCTGTCTCTTTTTCCACCCCACCTCAAAGTCGGCAGTAAGACAGCAGCATGGCTAGAACCAAAAATCACTTCGACTGAGGACGATCCGCGTCCCATTTCTCGGGATTGTAACCCCATAGTGCGTTTTCCCTATCCTTTATAAAGGAAGCCACTCTCTCTTCCCTCCCCATAGGAGCCGTGTGCTCAGCCCTTTTCTGCATCTCACCCACGATTCTTCCATGCTTCTCCTGCATCAGCTGCGTGTAGTTTTGCGCAATCTTCTCAGCCCTGTTCGCCTGGCCAATAACAGCAATGCTAATCGCAAGTCCCAGCAGTGCCGCGAAGCTCCCGTGCGACATGTACACAGGCTCCTGCTTCTTGCCGTTGCGCGCATCGTAGTACCGCTCCCAGTCCTCCCACGTCGCATTCCTCGCCGGGGAGTGCTCTCCCGTTCGCCATTCACTGTACGTCGCCCTCGTCACGGGCTTGGCCTGGTGCCAGCCCAGGCCGCACACGTCGTAGGCATGGCGCTTGGACGGGTCGGAGAGGATGTCGTTGGCGAGGACGACGAGTCGGTAGCGCTCGACACAGACGGAGGGGGATAGGTGGGAGTGTGTGGTCTCGAGGCAGTGGTGCCTGTCGGGGTGGTAGAGTTTGGCGAGTCTATAAAAGTTCGCTTTCGTGTACGGGGCGCCTGGCGTGACGCGGAGGATTTCGTATGGTGTGGGGTTCGGATGCGACGGCCACTCGAGGCTCTGGGGACTGCCTTGGTTATGACGATGATGATGACGATGGAGTTGGCGGGAAGGGACTCGGACGCATATTATATCGGATTGGGAAGGGTGGAAGAGGAGAGGCGACAGGACGGTCTTCGGGAGGCCATGGCGAAGTAATGTGTGTGCTGCAACATTCATAGTCGTTCTTCAATGTGGAGGGGTATCAGCATTATAGTAGTAGATAGACAATCTCCAATTCATTCTAGTTGCCGCGCCACAGCAACCAGGGATTCAATGCTTGAATATGTTGGAGTTGGGGCCAAGAGGAGAGCATGGAATCGAGGGGCGAGATAACCAGGCTCTCCGGGTCTTGATATTTCCATCGAGGTCGCCGATTACGCCGGCTGAACCCGGATTAGATTCGCCGAATTGTGGGGAACTCAGTCTGGTGATGTTGTCGACCAATGCCAATCTGCTCAGGCTGGTCAATTTGCTCAGTCGACTCGCCCCAATTTGCTCACTGCTCCGCTGACGGGATCCTGTAAATCACGTGATATAAATTGTTACCCCCGCACGTGTCCCTCTTTAGCCACAGGTGGCAGCAGCAGGCAGGTGTCCGACCCCACAGCACCGACCACACCGAAGCTTCAAGGTTTTGGAGCAAAATCATCACCTTCCATCCGCTTCCGTCTTCAGAGCCTCGCCCCCCTGCAAACCTGCAAAACTGCAAAACCCTTCAGTGAATCATAAAAATCAAAACAAGAAAAAAACAGCCAAGTGCCCCGCACAACGACCCCAGCGACATCTTCAATCAAAGAGAACGACCTCGAACGCCCGTTCCAAAAGCGATAAAAGGAAATTTTCATACGACTTCGAAGCTCCTGCTCCGATTTTACGCAGCAAATTCGACTCGGTAGGCCTTCCTTTGTAGAGAACCAACCAAACCAACCCCCTCTCCTTCCACCAAAATCCACGCCACACACACAACACCACTTTTTCTGGAGAGCCAAACTCGACTTCTTTCGTCCTCTTCTCTCTCTCAACACACAACCCACCTGAATCCTGTCTCCGAGCAGAATCTCTACAGCGACTTGAAACTCGACGATTATCTTTGTTGCCGACAGTCAACTCCAATTCCACCTCATCAAGACGGGTTCCCAAGGCCTCAACTCTTTTAACTCCCAACTGACGACACCAGAGCGATCCTCCACCAGCCCCCATTGAGATACCTTTCGGCAGGGCTCCTTTCTTCGACTCTTTTCCGATTTCTACCGTATCCACCCACAGACACACATTACAGGCCTCAGCGTCATATGCCACAATGACGGACGCGCTTGCAGATAAGCTTAATACCATTCAGATTGGGTATGCTTCGAATCTGTCGCCCCCGGCTCTCCAGAGACATCCCCCTTTGTCCGTCGACTCGCTAACGAGCCCTAGTGACGGCACCAACGATGATTGGAAGAAGGCGTTAAAGATACCTGCCAAGGATGGCAGGAAACAGACTGAGGTATGTCGCCACCCAACCTTTGCCTGGCATTCTGTGTTGCTTCCCCCGACATCAACCGACAGTAGCATTTAGAACGAAACACTAACTGACTCCTCCATGTAGGACGTTACGAACACCAAAGGCCTCGAGTTCGAAGACTTCGGCCTTAAGCGAGATCTACTGATGGGCATCTTCGAAGCCGGATTCGAGAAGCCCTCCCCCATCCAAGAAGAAGCCATCCCCGTCGCTCTCACTGGACGAGATATCCTTGCTCGAGCCAAGAACGGCACCGGAAAGACAGCCGCTTTCGTAATCCCCGCCCTCGAAAAGATCAACCCCAAGGTCTCCAAGATTCAATGCCTCATCCTCGTCCCCACCCGAGAATTGGCCATGCAGACGTCGCACGTTTGCAAGTCATTGGGAAAGCACCTTGGTATCAACGTCATGGTCACCACTGGAGGAACCGGACTTCGAGATGACATTATCCGACTTCAAGACCCTGTCCACATAGTAGTGGGAACACCCGGCAGAATTCTCGATTTGGCAGGCAAGAATGTCGCCGATTTGAGTGAATGCCCGATGTTTATCATGGATGAAGCCGATAAGCTCCTCTCGCAAGAGTTCACCCCCGTCATCGAGCAGCTCCTGCAGTTCCACCCCAAGGACCGCCAGGTCATGCTGTTCTCCGCCACCTTCCCGCTGTCCGTCAAGGACTTCTCCGACAAGAACATGGTCAGCCCCTACGAGATCAACCTCATGGACGAGTTGACGCTGCGGGGTATCACCCAGTACTACGCCTTCGTCGACGAAAAGTCCAAGGTCCACTGCCTGAACACCCTCTTCTCCAGGCTTCAGATCAACCAGTCCATCATTTTCTGCAACTCGACCAACCGCGTCGAGCTTCTCGCCAAGAAGATCACCGAGCTGGGCTACTCGTGCTTCTACAGTCACGCCAAGATGGCCCAGCAGGCTCGTAACCGAGTCTTCCACGATTTCCGAAACGGCGTCTGCCGAAACCTCGTCTGCTCCGATCTCCTCACCCGTGGTATCGATATCCAAGCCGTAAACGTCGTCATCAACTTCGACTTCCCCAAGAACGCCGAAACCTACCTCCACCGCATTGGTCGATCCGGCCGATACGGCCACCTTGGTCTGGCTATTAACCTGATCAATTGGGATGACCGATTCAACCTGTACAACATTGAGCGGGACTTGGGCACCGAGATCCAGCCCATTCCCCAGACCATTGACAAGAGTCTCTACGTCTACGAAAACCCCGAAACGATTCCCCGCCCCATCTCGACTCTGAAGCCGGGCGTCAACAGCACGGCGAAGCCTAATGCGCCCCAAAACTTCAACGGCCAGTCGCAAGACCAGGCCCAGCCTGCCCAGCAGCGCTCCCAACACACTCACCACCAGCAGCAACAGCCTGCTGGACCCGCCCCTAACGTCAACTGGCAGACCCAGAACCTCACTCAGAACGGGCCCAGTCATTACCAGAGCAACCGTGGTCGCGGTCGCGGCCGAGGCTACCATGGCCAAGGTCGTGGTCGGGGTAGCTATAACGGCGGCTACGGCCGAGGCCGAGGCCAAGGCCCCGCCATCCAACAATCCTAATAATGCCACATTCTCCTCATCCCCTGTCGGTCTAGAGCCGTGAGGCAAGCAAATGCCACCGCCGTTCAAGACCCCATCAGCGGATGTTGGGAGTAAAGGGGTTGTTCTGACTTTGTACATATCTGCTGCACTTTATGTTTGTCCTCCTTTGTTTTTCTCTCCTCATTTCCCCTTCTTTTTGCCTGATCTCATGGCGAAGGCGGGTGATATATCCTATTTTCTTTTTCCTTTGTGGGCGGCATGGGGGGATTGACGAACGGGGGAAACGCTTACGCCGTTTACGCAATGAGCCCTTGAATATTCCCCACTTTTTGTTCTTCTGTACCATATCCGCTTGGTTGCCTGGGACTCGTCCCGGCAGCCTTACCATCCTTTGTTCTTCACTTCGAGTCCATCCTATCTTATACGGCCCAACTTTTTGTCGTCTCACACTACCCGAAATACCACGACGTTGGCAACACTGGATCACGCAGATACCCCACCCCCCCGGAAGAATCAGGATGAACTTCTCCCTCTCCGTCTTTGGTCTCGGGCACACACTTCATGAACTGGCAGACGCATGATGTTGATCAAGTTTCTCATTCCCCGCCGTTTTGTTTTTCCCACTATTTTTCTTTCTTGCTCCCTTCATCTTTCTTTTTAGAGCAGGGCGCTCACCACCGCTGGTTTCGTGTCGGGTGAGCCCGATTCGACATTCGACATTCGACCTCTATATATTTGTCCGACTTAATTTGGTACTATTGGAGGCAGTTATCCGACCAAAAGATGCCCCTGTTTTTTACGACGTTTAACTGTTCCGGTATACCAGGATTTTTCGGCTGGACTCTTTCTGAGGTGGCGTTTGCGGCTGGTATTGCCAGGTCAAGAAGATAGGCATGGTGTTCATGGTGTCACGGCGTTTAGAGGAAACATTTGCTTTTTTTTTGGGTTTCAATTGTTGCATTTGACCGCCCTCTCCCTCTCCGCGGCTTGATGGATGAGCCCGGAGGACGGTGGGTGGCCAGCGGTTGGCGATTGGCGGTCGGCGGCTGGAGAAGCGAAAGGCTTATCATTTTTGGGAACCTGGTGCTGTACGGTCTCCCCCTTGGAAGCGTACGTGTGATTTCAGCGAGCACCTGGCGAAGGATGCATCGATTACTGGATTCGGAAAAAGGAAACAAAAGCATCAGCCTGGTCAGGCGCGGCTCTCCTGGTGAGCCATCTGATCAGACTTCGATATCTTGGTTGTTTTTGGAAGAAGGTTGCTTGTCGATCAGTGACGGGCCCTCCCAACCGCATCAACGGCGTGCATTGTTCGCATGTACCATGATATCCGATACCCGGCGTGTTTTTTTCTTCTCTCATTTTTTCCTTCCTATTCTTCTTCATTATTGTTACTACTACGGCTCCCATGATGTCACGATTTCCCCGGTTTGGCATACGAAACAGCGCGACTTGTGCTGGCGGGACAGGAAACGACGAAGGCAGACAACGAGAATGACGGACAAGGGGAAGGGGAAAGGAAAGCGAAAGAAAACACGAAAACACGGAAAAAGAAAAAAGTAAAAAACTTATAAAACTTATTTTTTTTTAAGGGAGGGCAAGGATTCGGTGCTACGTTCGACTCTCGTACCACTTGAGAGGCCCCCGAGCCTTGTATTTAAATGGATCGATGGATCGGAGGTCGGAGGAGTGGTGGGTTAAGTAGCATTTGTTTCGGCAATGAATATCAACGTCTTTGTTGTCCCTCTCTTATATTGTTTCTCTAACTCGTAAGCACTTGGTCGTCGAGATCGGTGTAGGCGTGATGTTTCTAGCTTCTGAGCACAAGGCGGCTATAGGGCCGAGCAGGTCTTTTGCTCGTCTCGAGCTCTACTGTGGGATATGGCAGACGGGAGGCCCCTTGAGGGTGATGGTGTAGAAGCCGTCGAAACACCGACGCCCATTCAAGGTAGCTCCAGGACAGACATTGACGTCCTTTCATCTCAGACCATGGCACTCATAATGGGAGTTCAACATCAGCCCCAGCATCCATTGGTGTCTCCTTTTACTTGCCCTTGGCTTTCTTCCCCAACTTACAAACTCTCTTCTAGCTCCAGCAATCTAGTTGGATCAATTTCCATACCTGCTTCGCTCCTTCTCCAGGCCTTCCTCTCTCATGGCGGCCCCAGCCTTGGGCCATCAAAACACAGCAAGATTGTGCCTCACACCCCCTTTCCTAGGACGTTCCTACCTTGTTCCCAGACATCAAAAATCGGTCCTTCCGCCAGACCTTCATGATCTACCAAGGCAGGAACGATTCTATTTCTGTTGATCTTGATTCATTGTAAACACACCATAAGGAAAACAACACCGCGACGTGACGCGTCTCCTAGAGATACCAACCCAGCCTCATTTTCATCCACCTTATCGTTATTCTTTTCCCTTCTCTCCTCGACCTCTCTCCTTTATTCTTCACCTTCACCCTCCAGTTCCAAACTTGAGGCAAGTCTTGAAATCTCTACTCCTCCAAGAGGCTCCTTTCACTGATTATTCCTAGTGAATATCTATCCTCTCTCGACATCAGTCCCTCTCCCTTTCCTTTCACTTCCTCTAATCTAGTTATCCTCACCTGTGAGCATTCCTAGATATCCTTTCAAGGAATACACTACAAACCATCCTCTACAAGGTACTCAAAGAGTTCTCCCTTCATACAGAAATCCCCTGCTCTAACCCTTTTTTTCTTCCCCAGGATCATCTTCTGAGCCCAACGAAGACACCTCTTTTCCTGTTCAAGTCGTGGACATATTCTGACCATGGATGATGATGAGAATATTCCTTGGGGAGAGTTCATAGGTGACACGATTCATGTCGCTGTAGATTCTCTGAACGAGCTTCAGGCATTGACAGGAAACGCGGTCACAAGCACCACAAGCACCGCGGACAATGATGCCCAGACCCAGCAGTCACAAACTCTGACCTCTTTCCCCCAATTCCCCAACCTTCCGCCCGAGATCCGTTCTCGAATCTTCCAAATGGCCATGCTGCAACCTGGTATCATCTACTTCTCAATGCAACCCAGCCACTTCGAGGATCATATCCATCTCCACGCCGTCACGAATTGCAACTCCACCTGGCGCCAGTGGAAGATGATCGCCCATACCAGCGTCGAGGCCGCCCACGCCGTCAACCTCGTGGTCACCAAGGGCGCCACCAAGCACTACGTCGACCTGTCCAAGAAGCGACCGTTCAACAAGGTCGACGACCTGCTTGTCATTCAATTCGCTACGAATCCGCAAATCATCAACCAGTGGACCGTCGCTACCGCCGCGCCTGTTGACTTTGTTTATAACAGCTACTTCCGCTCTCTTCGTCGCGTCGGCTTCAAGTGGAACGAGAAGACCTTCCGCTGCCACGGACACGTCGAGGATGAGGTCTCGCCCGATTGGCCTGTCTATCACGACGAGACCGATGATGATGATGATATCGTCAGGTGTATCTTCCCCTGCAAGGACATGTTTGAGCGGTTCCCCATGTTCTTCCGGGATGCTGACGCCGTCTACATCCTATACTCGGTCAAGGGGAAGGATTTGAGCCCTACCTTCAAAAAACAGGCCAGAGATCGGAATGTTTCTCCGATGGTTGACGCTGCAAATTACATCCGGGATACGCCCAAGAGCTGCGTGCGTTTGATACTCGGTATGTTCCTCTTCTTTCCTTTCCCTTCCCCTCTCCCTCTTCCCTCTCCTTTTTATTTGTTTATTGTCCTTTTTCCTTCCTTCCCACTAACCCAAGCCTCCTCAACCCCCGTCGCCAAAAAAAACCAGACGACAACTTCGCCGTCAGTCAACTAGAAACCGAAACCCGCTGCGATGCCCGCCAGAAATGGGTCGAGATGCCCATTGGGCGCATGAGGGACTTCCTCAACCTTGACAAGGCCGGCCCGTAGTACACGGTCGAGCTGCTCAAGGAGGTCCACCAGCAACTCAAGGAGGATGGGTTCGAGGGCTTGAATCCCAACATGCGTTTCAAGGTTCTCCTTACGTCTTTCCATCTTCGATCCACGGAGTGACCTACTTCTTTTCTTTTGATCCCTTGATCTTTTTTTTGGTCCCTTTGCTGAAGGCTACGCTTGAACCATCGCGTATATCCGTGTACGTTGAACTCTATTCCTGGTAAGGTTTCGTTTTTATATCGACCTGGGGTAGCGTGCTAACCTGACTTGTTGCCTTTAGCTGCCAGACACGGCAGAAATGGACGTGAATGAATTATTCTATCGTTTTCAAGTGGAGGCTTTTTTTTTCTGCTGCTATATTGGTATGTGAGGAATCAAAATCCATAGTAGAAGAGGTCTGTTGGATTGCTAACACCAACTCGAGGCAATTTTGGAGCCAAGTTTCTGTCGATCGTACGTCGGACATCGTACACACACTCGCGTACACACATCTGAGTCTAGACGATCTCGGCATCTTGGCAGCAGTCGACGTCAAACATGTCTTAACAGGCGTAAATAGCTGCATTACAAAGTCGTCAACTTGATTCCGCCTTGATCCCACGGTCATTCATTACCCATAAGTGCTTCCACAAATCCGTTTTTGTGTCTTTTTTTTTTTTTTTTTTTTTTTTTTTTTTTTTCCGTCGCCCAGTAGTGCTTTTCAAGTCATATCCTTCGTAAATCAAATGGAAGAAAAGAATGAAAGAAACAAGAAAGGAGAAAAAGAGAAGGGGCAAAGAGAAGGGGCAAAGAAACCACCCACCCTTAGTGCATCATAAAACATCATAACAAGAATGATCGAATCCAGAACTCCGTTTTCCCGTCCCAATTTTGGTTTCCCTTCCTTTCAAATTAGCCCTACCTCCATGTAACTCTTCCCATTTTCATCCCTTCCCTTCGGAAGAGCATTCTCCTCCAAGATCCTCACACCTTCATCCCACCCTACAGCCATTGTCATCCCCAGCGGCGTCCGTCCCCCTTCACCTACGACATCGAGATCAACTCCCTGACCAGCCACAACCTTCAGCATCTCCACGTCTCCGTTCTCCAAGGCCTGCATGACGGCGTTCCAGCCTCGGTACACCTTATTCACGTCGGCACCCTTGGAGACCAACATCCTGACCGTAGAAATGTCCCCACCGCCCGTGCGCCGCAGGGCCTTGACCAGCGGGAGGTGCTCTCCCACGGCATTGGGGTCGGCGCCCCTGTCGAGGAGGTACCGCACGATGGCCTCCCTATGCTCGTGGATGGCCGTCGTCAGCGGCGAGAACACGCCACTCGTCTTCTCTTCGATGGAGAAGCCCGAGTCGAGGAGGATGGCGACGCTCTCGAGCTGGTTGGCCACGATGGCCTGCTCCATCACGCTGGGGTACGAGTGGATGTCCTTGATGTGGGGGATCACGAGTCGGAGTATGTCGGGGTGGCTGACCGCCAGGCAGATGGGCCAGTCGTGGTTGCCGCGGAGGGTGACGTCCGCGTTGTGCGAGAGGAGGAGGGATACGGCGTCGGGGAGATTGGCCCGGATGGCCGTCGTAAGGGGCGTGCAGCCTTTTGCGGATTTGGCGTTAGGGTCCGCGCCTTCGCTGAGGAGTCGCGCCATGCAAACGATATTCTTGGACCGCGCGGCAGTCTCGAGAATTGCGCATGGTTTCTCGATATCAGCCCCCGCGTCGAGCAAGTGAGGTAGAATAAGGTTTCGCGAACGGGCGACGCATTCTTCAATTGGGTATCGCATGCCGGGTAAGTTAGGATCCGCGCCGCTGTCGAGGAGCAGATGGACGATGTCGGTACGGTTGTCGCGAATGGCCGTACAGAGCGGCGTATAGAGCGCATCCTTTTTCACGTTGGGATCGACACCGGCTTGGAGGAGGATCCTTACCGAGTCGGCGTTGTTGATGGAAGTGGCGAGCTCCATTATACCAGGGGCCCTGAGGAAGTCGGCGCCACGCGTAAGAAGGTTGCGTAGGCACACCGGCTTCCACACCGCCATCCAGAGCACATGCTCGGGCCCGGGGAGATTAGGGTCGGCACCGCGGTCCAAGAGGGACGTTATGATGTCGGCCCGGTTTGACAAAACGGCCTCGCAGAGCGCCGTCCTACCATGGTCATCCTTGACGTTGGTATCGGCATCGTATGCCAGCAAGAGGTCGACGAGGCGCTTGGGCGCTGACTCGTCAATGGCTTGAATTAGCGGCGCATTTCCATTGGGCATGAGGTGGTTCGGATCTCCACCGTAGATGAGGAGGAGGTGCGTAAGAATGGTGTTTCTCTGCTCGATGGCTAGGTCCAAGGGAGTCTCGCCATGGGGGCCGGCGGTGAGGTTTGGATCAGCCCCGTATTTGAGCAGAGCTTTGGCACCCTCCGGGTAAGCAACATGGACGGCAGAGTACAGCGGCGTCACGCCATCGGTATCCGGCCGATTAGGGTCAGCTCCGAATAGTAGCAGAAGAAGCAGGCTCTCAGTATCGTGGTTGAGGACGGCTTCACGAAGCAGGTGCATCTCGGCGCTGTCGGGAGGAACTCCCTTATCGAGAACCTGCTCAATAATTTTGTGATTTCGCCCCTCTATAGCCGACGTCAGAGTCGTCTTTAGCGCATCGGCGTTGCCGCCATCCTCATTCGCCGCGGTCCAATGTGGCATAGACGAAGGTTCCGCTTTCACCCGGAGCACTGTATCTACATCAATCGAGTCTAAGTCAAGGCTTTCCATCTCCTCTATCCAAGGAAGAGCTTCGGTGAGGGTAGAAGAAAAGGCATCCTCGTGCGGTGAGCCAGTTGAATAGGGACCGATCGTCGTGGGCCGTGTGCTCGCGCTCATCGGGCGTGGTGTGCTGAGAGGCCGGGATCCTTCCCGTGTGCTCGGAATGCTCTCGCTCATGGACCTCGCACTCACAGGCAACCCGTGAGGCATCTCATCATCGCGTTCGGTAGAACGAATGGCGGACAGCGATCTTCGCCTCTCAAGATCGGCAGACGGACTTTCACCCCTGGCCCTGTCATGCGCATGACTGTCAGAAGCAGCAGTAGAGCGAGGAGAATCCACAAAAGGTGAAGAGGTATGAGTAGTACGACCACTTCGTGGGCCGAGCAGGAGCTCTTCAAGGTCAATGGCCTGCGATCGGTGCCCAGGCATAGCCCGTCTGGCATCTTCCATGTTGTCTAGAGCGGCAGCAAGGCCTGTATATCCAGCACCAATTGATGTCTCGGAGGGTGGGTTGCCGAGGGACCACTGCAGAACGAGCGCGCTCGCTCTCAGAGAATCCCTCAAGCGCGAAAGCATGGTTCTCATGCGATCGACTTCCCTGTCGGCAAAGATTTTTCGCCACTGATGCTGCAGACGGGCGACGGCACCCTTTTGGTCGGCCTCGATATTCTTCTGTAGGACGCTGTCGAGCGTCTCGAAATCTCGGATCGTATTGCGGAGGCGGGTCTCCAGCACAGCTTTCATATCCTCAGGGACAGCCCTGGCCTCACTTTCAGGCGGGCCCTGTTCATCCTGCTCATCGGCCGGGGGTGTCGACACCCCCACCTTGTTCTCGTCCGCTTCCCTGGCAGTATTCCTCTTCGTCGCCTCAGCAAGCCCTGTTTCGATGGACCACAGGACCCGGCATATTTCCAGGAACAATTGCGCAAGCTTGTTCAATCCAGCCGGCCGGTTCCGTGAGGTCGTGAGAAGGTCGACGAGTCGAACTGAGATGTTATTCCCTAGGAGTGTGGCTTTCATGCACAAGGTCTGGAGAACACAGAGGGGACTTGGCGCAGGTGTTGGTGGGGGCTGGGTGGTATCAAGAGTCGACATTGTGAGAGTGAGGATGGATCATGAATGGATTTGCATGCGATGAGGTCACGACCAAAAAGAGACAGGTCATGAACTTTTCCGGTTTCAAGACCAGGTAAGGTCCGTAAAATCCCAAGTCAAGAAACGAGGAGCAAAAAGACAAGAGACTAAAAAACATTTGGAGAGAGAATGAAGGCAAAATGGTCGCGAATCTCGGCGAAAGAATGGCCAAAAAATATCTTTTTTTGAACATGCTAAGGAAGAGCTCGGCCGGGTGGCCATGACTCGTCACAGGCAGCGGCGAAAGCTCCGCAAGAATCGTCCGCTTTCCGATGCCCATTAGACGCGGTTGCCACTAAACCTTATTCATACCTCCACATGCCGTGAGGAACCAGCCTGCCTATTCGAGGCACTGCTGGCCAATCATCAGCACCCATAGTTAATCGTACTCGGAGGCTGATAGAGTTTGCTGCGGCGTCATTTGACGATCAAGAACCGAATCAGGAAGATCGGGGTTGCCCTGGAGGGGCAGCTCATACTATGGTTGGTCTGAAAGTCCACCCTTGATTGCTTTAAGCTCTATGCTTCGGCCATCCACGATCCGATGGTTGCGTGGAGCTATCAAAGTTCCGAGAAACAGACCTAAAGGGCGTAGGCGCTACCAACGGTCCGAAGTCGTGACCGAAGCCGTGACAAGCCAAAGGCGATGGCCACGGCCGCAGCAGCTCAAGGTTGAAATGGCATTAGATTTGGGTGCACTCGACCCACATTTTCTGCTGTTAGCATCGTCTTGCTAATCCTTACAAATGGTTTTTCTAAACCATCGTGATGGTGTTGATTGTCGAGAGCTTGCCATAATTTCGCCGACATAGGAATTGAAGCCAGGGTTGGCATGATGGTTCCCGACAGTTTTCCGGTTGGGGCCGCTCTTTCTTTGTTTCTTCCCCGTTACGGCAGACGCATCTCTTTGATAGAGCTCAATGTCAGTGCCAAGCTGGGGAACTTAGAACCTCGGCCCTCCAGCTGGGACACACATGGTATGAAGCTCTACCACATGGCTGGCCATGCGGTCAATTGCGCTTGTCCGACGGCAGGGGAGAATCCCCATGTGATGGAGCCACCAGGAAGGAAGATCCAGCTGCCCGGCCCGGGTGGCCTCACTGGGGCATTAGAGCCGATGCGGAGACGGGACCAAGTAGCTTAAAGCATATCGAAACGTACCAAAGGCTTCACCAAGTTAAAGCCAACTAACCGGTATCTTCCCAGACTTAGACGAGCCGTCGCAACCGAGAGAAAAATAACCTTACCTTGGAGCTAGCTGAAGATGGATGACATCATCGGCATGTCCTACGAGGCTGCCCCCTTGGCTCACGTCTCCGCCACATTACTTCTGACTCGGCCTCGCCGTCACCGTCAACTTTGGCCTCCGAGCTTTTTCTCATTTGCACGTGTCTCTTGGTAAACAGGCGTCCTTTTGGGTCCCATATCCGACCAAAGACGATGGTGGAGAGAGGTATTTTGCCGTCAACGACGGCCCTTTTTGAGCTATTTAAATTTTTATCAGCGGTAGTAGGTTGAGCTTGATGTACGCGGTGGGCTGAATCTGATGTCTACCGCTTCGGGGAATATTGTGATGACTCGACGATATTGCATGATTCCGATGGAAATGTGGCAGCATCAATCCCGGCTCTCATCGCGAAGTCCGAACATTGAGAAACCAGGGATGGTCCCACGTAGCTGTCTTCAGGAGAGTCGAAGATGAATACTCGTGGAGCCCACGTGGTTGACGGGCCAAATCGACGCCATTGCCATCTCTTCCGATACCATCGACGCTATTTTCGTCCCTGCATCGTGCTGGTATTGCGATGAGCGTCGGTCTTTCATACCCCCTTCCATATGCGGTTTTCCGGTCACTATAGGGTCTTCTGCTCGTTGGGCGCTGATCATTGCCTGTTTACCCCCAAGATCACCAGCCTACGACCGCAGGGCTAGCCCGTGAATGCTAATGTAGGTAAGGGCGCCCCGTATCGGGGTAAAAGTTCCGACGATCTACGGACGGCTGCCAAGGTGGATCGTGGAGGACACTGCTAATGCGAGAGACCTGTAACAGCAGGCAATAGGCGGGTCTGTCTAGCGTCCGTCAGCGAGTGAGTGGAGAAACAGCTTTGACCCTGACGGACCGAATATGTCGGGCTTTACTTCGTAAGTCAGGTTTCACGTTCGTACATAAGGTCCTCGGATTATTCGAGATTTGGGCAAGACTAGTCGGACCTTGAGGGCGACATGTTCAGCCTCGAGCACGTGGCGTTATGGTGCTATGATGAGGATCCATGATTTGAAGTGAGGTTGCTTCTTCCATGATAAGCTCAGGCATGTGCGCAGTCTGGATCATTGTCTCGGTCAGGGCAGTGCAATTAGAGGCATCAATTGATGCCTGGCGTCCGGTGTCTTGTCTTCTGTCTTGTCTTCTGTCTTGTGTCTAAGTCGAGTCCGCTACGTTCCTTGTCGAGCCGATATTTCCGCTCTCCCTAGAGCCGTTCTGATTACTTCATCCGCACCTGCCAACAGAACCAACCTCGAATACGAAGTACTTCGCAGTTCAGTTGTTGATCCTGCAAGGGAAAGAACCACGCGAAGTAAGAAAGTACTTGGATACCTCGGTACTGTGTTTACAGGACTGATTCATTGATGCCGTCACGGGGGACGAAGTATCAAATTATTTCAGGTTCCTGCAGGTCCGAGGCGGAATGACTGGATCAAATGTTTGGATGAGAGGGGAAGTGGCGGTCTGGGGCTGCCAAAATCTGGTTAGGTCGTCCGGGCTGCTCTTTCCCAGGAAGGTGGTGGGAGAGAGTCAATGTATCCATCAGTGATCCAACACAGTGATCCATCAATCCCTTGAGAGCTGAGACATAGATTGCTCTTGCTTGTTGGAGCAGGCTGGCCCCTTGCGTCTTGGCCCTCGAAGGAAGGCCCAAGTCAAACTCCTTCGTCTGACGCTGGAAGGGTTAGTGGAAAAGGCAACGAAGCTTGGCCTGGGTTGTGATATTGTGGGCATTGTGCACATGTCAGGCGCCTTGCAGATAGGCCACGCCGGATGCACACTAAAATCTGCAAGAAGCATCAACATGGTTCTCAACTCATGTACTTGTACTGCTTGGTGGGAAAGGGGAATACTGGGCACTAATGTACAAGTACCTCGCAATTGTGTAGAGAGAATCAAAACAAGCAGATTTTACTTGCATAAAGTTGGACGTGGAATACTCGCTATCAGCAGCCGATGCGCTGCTCCTTCCACAAGTGCTGTCTCGCGTCGAGCTTTTTCGGACATGTGAGGCGATGCCCTGAAGGGCAGGACATTGGGGGTGACTGGAGATGATCTGAGAAGACTGCGAGGGGTTGTCGGTGAGCGTGATGGGAGACCGCCGAATCTCTCCACTTGGGCTCTCTTCGTTGCTCAAATGAGCATAATGCCAGGCGGAGAAATTATCAATATATACTACTTTGTAGGCTTCGATGTTGCACTGGAATTCGCTATTACCCCACATTGGAGTCGAGAATTCGGTTCAATATTTTTCTACGAGAGCTCTGAGCGTCTCCGAGCGCGTTGGACTGCATCCATCCTGCACTAGATGCAGTCTACTTCGAACGATGGACGGGACGTACGTTTTCTGCCAGCTCAAGACGCGCCGTTAGACCGTCATCTCAACTAGTGGAGCACTATCGACGGGGAACTGCCGCCCCCAAAAAATTCGCCTCGACTAATAAATTGTTCTCGTCTCGAAGCCTTCGGCCTTCAGCCCTAATCAATATCCAACACCCGACCACAAACGTCATCAGGAATGGGATAATTCTGGTTCTGGTTCGCTTGTCGATCTTCCCAGTCAAAGGCACCGGCGATCTCTCGTTGCAATGGGAAAGCCACCGCGAACATCCATTTTTTGGGTTCTCCTTCATTCCTGGAGAATGATACTGTGGCGCAAAGCGCGACACCACAAAATCAGCATTCATTTCTCGTATCTCGCCCTTGTCTCCCGCAAGCAGCGGTCCTGAAAGACACAAAACTAATTTCCGGTCTCTGCGCCCCTCCCCCTCCCACCGCCGCATGGGACTGACTCCCTTGCCAAGTTCGTCAAATAACGACAATAGCGCAAAGGGCTGAGTCCGTGCATCAGTATTGCCAAATTACGTACTGTTGCATTGACACGGTGATCTTTGGTGGAGTCGGCGCGACGATGTGACCCTGCCCTGGCAGAAGTACATGCCAGAGACGCTTCGTCCCTTGCAGCCCAGTCCCCTGCTCTGTAGCATCCATGTCGACTGTGCAGGCGAGGAGGGAAGAAGGTTGTATTAGAGAGAGTAACGTACAAGGTCGTGGGTCCCCCTTTAATCCACAGGACTCCCCTGTATTTACCGCCTCTCCTCCATCTTGTAATACCTTCATTCCTTCTCTTCAAGTCTGGATTTCAGATTTCATATCCACAAACCACATTCGTTTACTAATTTCCGGTGGGGGACGGCGACGAAGAACGACGATATCAGGATCACTGGGAGCTGCGATTCCAGTGTCATCACCAGAGAGAAACAAACGCCTGGGAAGCACCCCGAACGAAGAGAGTTGAACAACCGACCATTCTGCCGCCCCAACACCCTTCGATATAAGCGATGCCTATTAGATCGTGAGGTCATCATCGAATCTGGGTCGATCGGTGGCCCCAAGTCACTCGTTTTGCGCATTGCTTCAGACAGAGAGAGACGTGGAGAGTTACCAGCACGAGATGAACCATGTTCGGATGGGGCTTACCGCCTCCTCCCTCTCGTAACAACCATAATAATAATATGGGGAGCCCATTTCCCTCTTGGGGCAGTGGCCCTTCATGGTGGGATGTGATTTCGGGAGGTAATAACAACAATAATGGAGGTGGAACTGGAGGCGGGAGCGGAAATGGAGGCAGTGGTGGAACCGGTGGCGGTAGCACTGGTGGAAATAACGGGGGCAGTACTGGAGGTGGGAATAGTGGCGGCAGCGGCGGAACTGGTGGTAGTGGGGGCAATAGTGGAGGGAGCAACGGTGGAAGTGGTGGAAGCACGGGCGGGAGCAGCGGCGGAGGCTCGGGGAACAGTGGCGGCAGTGGCAGTGGGAGTGGAACGCCAAGTAATGGTGGCTCGGGAAGCGGGAGTGGAAGCGGCACCGGGAACGGAGCCTCGAATGGTGGAAACGAACAGCCTGCTACTCCTCCACCATCACAGGGAAACAACGATAACAGCAACTCGCCAAACCCGACCCCAAGCAACCCCGTATCTGAAACACCGGTCGCCGCTTCACCGGCAGGCGAGAGTAGTCACAGCCAGAACCCCTCGCAGTCAGGGTCTGGTGGAAGTGGAACGCAATCTAGCGCCGAGGAAGGCTCAAGTAGAGGCGCCGACGCTGCCCTTCCATCGTCCACAGAATCTTCGAGCACCCTGAACCCCAACGGATCTGTGTCTGGCAATGCCAATACCAATGGCAATCCTTCAACTTCGCCCGGTGACTCAAACGGCGGTTCTGCGTCGTTACCCGGTTCCAGCGGGAACTCACCCGCAGGCATTATAGCGGGAGTGATTGGTACGTTTCTCTTCTCTCTTTGATCGAGATGTGTTGTTTTTAACCACAACTGTGCTCAGTCGCTGTTGTTATCATCCTTCTTCTCCTCGTCTTCCTCTTCCGGTATCGTCGAGTAAAGAAGGACGCCACCCTCGCCGCATACGGCCGCCGCGACCGCGCCCTCTTCGCCATCGGAGCAAAGAAGAGACCTAGCAAGAGATCATCCACAGTTCTAGGAGGGCTACTCATCCCCTCAGCCGCATCGAGATCCGCCGACGACAGTCCTCCCTTTTCATCGAGCCAGCCGGCCATGGCGGAGCACCCTATCAATCCTATGCCCATCGCCCATCGTCGCTTCAGCACGAGGAGCGACGAAACCGGCACAACTATGCCCCCTTCTCCTACCTCCACCGTCTTCGGCGGTACTATTTCCATGTTCCCTCTTCCTCCTTCTCAACATTCCCTGCCTCAATCGGTGGGGCATCCATTTCCTCCCACACCCGCACCACAACGGCCAGCGCAGTACCCGACGCAGTACCCGGCTCAGTACCCAGAGCAACACCCTCGAGATTCAATCAGTACTGTTTCCCAACTTTCCCGCCCTAGCGAGATTCGAGTGTCCTTTTCCGACGTGTCGGGACTCAGCGACACGGGGTCCACCCATCACCACGACATGTATTACGCCACCCATCCAACATACCAACCCGACAGTCCAGCCGCGGGCCCTCCGAGATTAAACAGCATTCCACACCAACATCAGCGAGTGGAACAGCTTAGCGGAATGCATAGGCACGGCCAAGCACCACCGAGCGCGGGGAATCGTGTCTAGGCACGTGTGACCCAGGGTTCGTTACGATGAATGATATTTTGGGCATTTCTTTCCAACGCATCATGATGAAATAAGCTATACTTTCCGTTATGAGGCTGAAGCTTGGTCATGGATACTATTCGAAGGGGGGGGATGGAGCATCTACTGGCATCAAGCATGTTTTTTTATATTGGGCATTTGATGATTGTGGAGATCGACCTAGCATTCCTTATCCCTTTCTCTTTTTATGTTCCTTCAGAGCGCAGTGGAGGCAGCGCTCGTTCATTCTTTACTTGTCAATGGAGCGCGTGCAGTTTGTACAATACATTGTATAGAGTAAACGTGAAAAATATCTTAATCCTGTCTCGATCTATGGCAAAAACAAACAACTCAGCCCCCGGCCTCGCTCCCATCTTCGAATGTGCAAGCAACGAATCGAGCTGAAGTTCAGCAGCACCCTCGGAGGGAGTTTTCGTCGAAGGCAATATTAGCCCTGAGAAGCTCTTGGACTTTCGATGACGACACAATGTCTCAATTTTGTCTAGATACACACCACTACGGAGAGTTTTTCTGATCACTCGGTACCAGTTTACCAATACCAAAGTTCAAGCTTTGGATGCCGTTCGGTTGATCGACGCCATTTCCAAGGAACCAAGAACCGGAAATTTAATTTTAATTCATAAAACTATTTAACTGTGCGTTCTTCTACTTCGCCGTTTTGCAACAAAACTTTTGATTTCGCTATAAATATTTTTCATTCTTAACGTATTTCCATCATAAAGATATTAGATCCTTTAACAGTCATGTCAGCCGCCTTTGCCTTCTTAATAGCCGCCTGGTAGGTCTCAAGATTCTTCGCCAGCTTGCCACCCGGCCGGTAGAACCTGTCAACCATCTGCGCGCTGCGCCCCATGCCCAGCTCAGACCTCATCATATCATCAAGTTCGGGGCAGATCGACCGGAAAGAATTCGATGTTCTCGATCCTCTTGATAATGTCGCTCGGATTGCCCTTGCTCCAGACCCAGTCTACATGAATAGAGCGAGATTAGGCCCTGTTGGGGCGCAAATCTGAGGAGACATCATAAAAGGATTGCATACGATTGGGCAATGGTCTCTAGCAGTCGCATGCTTCGACTCCGGGTCTTCCAGCGTGCCTGACAGGATGCCCTCCCTCTGCCCGGTTTGATAAGCCGCAAGGTGAGGAATATGACGAAACAAAATGGGATCTTTCTCTCCCTCAAGAAGCACTCTGCGTTCTGGTCCCTCTTGGGCCCAAAGCTCGACGCAGGGATGTTTTTCACAAGCCGAGGTCCTAAATGTTCATCAGCCGCCTTTCTTCATACGCCCGGATAAATTCGTTGAAACGTCAGCTAAGCCGGTTTGCTATCCGAACCCCACATCCACTTACATGAAGCATCTTTGCGATCGAGTGATGGACTCGTAGGAAATCTTCCGAAGGCAACGCAACTTCATCGTCCCCGGATATAAAAGTGACATTTGACGAGGGGATACCAATGTTAAAGTTGATAAATTGGTGTATATCGTATCGATTGGGAGTAGTAAACTGAAAAAGAAACTCAGCGAAGTTGAGAGGTTGTATCGGCGTGAGATCGGGAGACAAGCTGATGCAAGGGTACACTCACGGACGGCTGAAGTGCGTAGATGTGTTTTCTGAAGGTATAATCTACTTGAAGAGACAGGGTCACCGCGTTCTTGGGCTGATTCAAGCTGTCTGGCCCTATGGCGTCTCTCAGGCTGGGGAAGTATCTGTAAAGCGCCCACCAGACAGTGGATTTCCGTTCAACCTAAGACGACGATGAAAGTTAATATCTTCTCCATCCAGTCGACGCGGCAGCCAAGAGTCGGGACACATCCGAGTACCTCAATTTCATCATCATTGTCCAACACTCTAAGTCCAAATGGGATTATGGGTACGCACTCCGTATCCGTCATGAAATGGTTATCTGCGGCTGTGCGTCCCCGCTCCAATGATGGGAGGTCGAAGGCTCCAGTGATGACACACCGGAATCGATCTCGACGAAGACATTGCTCCTTCAGCGCTTCCCGGCAGCATCTCGCCGGCGGCTCTTCGGCCAGCACCCGCTTCCACTCTTCAATACCGGGCTCCGCTTCTGGGTGTGGAGATGGCGAGATCTCTGAATGGACAAACCCGTGCTTCACTGTTGGTAGGACGCAAGACTGCATGTTAGCATGGAATTACAACCGTTCGATGTTCGATGGCTATATCAGTCAGGTAAGCTGCAACGTACTAGCCTTAAGAACTGCATCCATGAAGAAGTGTCTGAGTTGACGGATTGACTCGAAGTTTTTCTTGAATAGCACAAGTTCCTTCATCATAGTCAATTGGCCTTCCTTAGGAAGAGACTCTAGGACAGTATTGAAGAAGGCTGGGGTGTCATCTTCTCCCTCGTCGCTCGCTGCTCGGTATGCGTCTAGGACTGTCTTCGACTCCGCTTGAGCGTCCACGTACGCGCCCATATCAGGGACGGTGGAAGAGAAATCGTCGCTGAGGGCGTCCATGTCAGGATGGGGCGTAATATGAAGTGCCCGAGTACGCTCCACAACGGTGACAGCGGGATATAATTGTTGTTTCTGTTGGCGTTGTTGGTATCGTTACATCAAATATCAATGGAGAACGATATCTAACAGGAAGGGCCGAGTTCTACTGCGCAACGAAGCAGGGATTGGATGTTCGAAGTATGCCAGGAGGAAAGAAATCTCTGTGTCGTTTGGGAAGAATTGGGCAGAACTACTTCGTAGATGCCAGGATGTTTTATCGTTTCTGCCTCTCATGTGGGAACAGGAAGTTGAGGAGCACTTCACGTAATCCCTTCCTCAGAAGCACCTTCGCGTCCCGCAGAGTTGACGATTTAACATCACAGTTGCATCAGTCGGCGATGAACTTTATATTGTAACGGAAGTTGAGGTCATTGTCATTCCATCGTTCCTGCTTCTTTACTTCCTCCTTACGTAACTGTGTCTGTGAGACTTCGAATTGTTGGACAAATTGTTGGACAAATTGTTGGACTGGACTCGAGTCTAATCCCGAGCAGGGCAAAGGGAAAGTCGGACGAACATGTGTTGGGGGCATCCCGAGTGAGATGCACAAAGGCGCAGAGGAGGCATATGTGGGATCATTCTCACTGCGGACTTCATTCACTCGAGATGGAAACTGTTGACCTGGATGACGAAGCTGATCTCAAGCGACAAACTGCCGTGGTCCTGACTTGATCGACCAGAGCTCTCTTGTGTTTACTGGGGAAGACGGCCATGGGATCATGACGTCGCTGGAAGTGTCAGCCAACCCAAGCAGTGGGTTCGCTCTAAGCAGCGATGACTGCCCAGCTGGCAACTGACCCCTCCTCGGGCTTGAGGGCCATCAAAGCGTCCCCTCAAATCGTATTTCTGTTGCACGACGCAAGCAGGTCTCGCAAGCCTCACAAGATCTGCCTTGGCTGCTGTGCACTCTGTGATCGAGCGACGATTGATATCAATTGGCCCAAGCTACTTTTTGCTAACACAACACATGAGTCGTGGGAACAGGTTTGTCCGCTCCCATAGGAATGTGACCCTCGTCGCGCAATGATCTTGGGCAAGCGACATGGACGACCTGTTTGATCATTATCAACATCTACGATCTCGGTTCGCTCGATGACAGCCTCTCCCAAGACCGCAACCTTTGTCATACGTCCAAAAGAGACTTGAGGAACGAGGGCAGTCCCACGCGATGCAATATCGATGCGAATAATCGGCCTCGGTATGCACTTGGCGAAGCCTCCAGGATGTATCACGACCATCGCGACGCGCTTAGCAAGCTGGCTTCCCCTTACCACAAGGTCACGGATGCCGCCCTCGAGTTCAAGAGGAACGAGAGACTGCCTTCTTTCCCAAAGTCTTTCTATGAGATTGGATCATTCGGAATGCGAAGGCCTTTGGCCGTTTCAGCGGTCCCTCTCTCTAATCACCACTGTAAAACGATTGGGATATCGGCATCGCAACTGCTGTAGTAAGTCGAGACGTTTTGCAAATCGACCAGCCCCACGGCCAGCCAGCCAAGGCCAGCCACGCTGCTTTTAAGGGTATTGAATTCTGCACTAATTGTATGGTATACCGAAATAAGATTGCACAGCGGAAGAAATGGCCAATTGCGGGTTTGGTTTGGTCGGCGTGCAGGGATCTTGATTACAGCCAGGATCCCTTTTCCTGTTTCCTATTCTGGACTTGGACGCGTTTCCAATATTTCTCACCAGGACTGGGGCTGAAGAAGTCAGTCTTCTTAAAGGGGGGTAAGATGTCATCGCCTACACCGCGCGTCGCCAATATTTTATAGAATAATTTATCCCGAATTCCAAGTGATAATTGCGAATTCATCTCGTCTTTCAAGGGCCTCTCAAGTGCTTTGCTTCCGTTCATTTTTATGCCTTCTAGCGCCTGCGCCTGCAAGATGCCGAGCAAGGGCGTACAAGCTTACACATACATCGCGGCTGCCGGGGTGGAGATTGACATCTCTGTCCCCAAGCAGTCGGCGACGCGCACGGCGCAAAGGGTGTTCGAGACGGAGAATTTCGAGGTCGACGCCGTCAAGATCCGATGGCCGCTGAAGCGCCATGGACGATTCACGTTCAAGGTGCGGAAGTCGAATCCGGGCGAGACGTTGACGGAGCAGTGGATGGACGTCGATCCCGTGTCGGGCGATATTTCCTCCGACTCAACCATGGATAACACGCTGTTGGAGACGAGGTCTATCGTCGGAAATGGCCTCGCCATTAGCTACGGCGTGTACGAGGCCGGGCCGGGCCAGGCGGGTCTGCCGAATAGACACCAGGCCTACGCCATCGTCACCCCGGAATGGAGCGGTTGGCAAGGCTCGGTGGCGCCTCCCGGGTCCGAGGCGGAGAAGAAGAAGTTCGCTTATTTCGTCCTGCCGAGCCCGCACGACGTCGGCATGAATAGCCTGGATACGATGAACGCCATCCTCAAGCACGCGGGCGTGGCGAGCGCCAACATTCTCGCCACCTTGATGCCCTACCTAAACAGCGCGAAAGACAGCGTCGCCAAGGTCATCGGCGGCCTCGCCGACGTGACGGTCAGCAAGATCGCGCCGGACATCATTGCCAGCCTGTCCGTCACGCAAAAGGATACGGTCGCGACCATGCTCCAGCTCGGTGCGCGCTACTTCGAGTTCCGCCCCGCTCACTGCCACAAGGCCATCCTGCCGCACTCTCCGCTCCCGGACAAGCTCTACTTCCAGCACGGACCCATCCCGGGCATGGCGTACGATCAATTCCTCATGGACCTCGTCCTCTTCCTCGTCAAGAACCCGACGGAGATCGCTGTCGTGCACGTCCGCTGGGATGGCGTCCCCGCCGAATGCGCACGCCCCACAGACTCGGAACTGAAGAGCTACCTCGACGCGGCTTTGGCGTTCTCCAACGGCGCCGTGCAGACGGGCAACTTAAACGACCTCCGCAACGCGACGATCGCGGACCTCCGCGCGCAGAAGAAGCGGTTGCTCTACATCGTCAACGAGTCGGTGCTGAGCACGTACGACGACACTGCCAACGCCACTGTGGACGGACGCAGCATGCTCGCCGCATTTGAGAGGACGTTGACGGCGGAGAAGCAGGAGGGACAGAACATGACGGTGGCGCAGTGCCAGGCCACGCCGACGAACATTAAGGATGTTATCTACTATAGCGTGGTGTCGGCGAGCGTGAGCACGATGGCGCTGATGGCGACCAAGGCGCTGTGCGGGCATCTTTTGCTGCCGTGGTTGAGGCAGAATGTGGTGGAGAGGTGTAAGAGGGACCAGTTGCTGGTGATTATGGATGATTTTATTGATGGGGCAGATACGGATGTTGCGGTGGAGTTGAGCAGGAAGAGGTTGGCGTAGAAGTTGTGCTTTTTGGATGAGTGAGGGTGTCATGAAGATGAACGAGCATGGCAGGATATGGCTTGCATGATATGACTTTATGAGATGGAGGTTCGTATTGTCATTTTCTTGGATTTTGAGGCGAGATTGAATATACTCTGCGATGGGATTTGATACAATATGGAGAGTCGGCCCTTGCCCTTTGCTTCCAACCTCGACACTATCCAGCCTCACCACGATCCCCATCACCCATGCCCTCATTGATCACCACACCCACATCCACCGCCACGCCCATGCCCACATCCACATCCAGTTTGCGACGGAGATGATGCTGTATGAGCTGCGTTTAACTGATGACTGGATGATTGTGCTTAAGTTACGGGGTAAGTGATGGACTTGGGCGATATGAGGCGTCTCTCATGGAGTCTTATGATATTATTCTATGGCTGAAACGAGTAACAAGCTCGAAAGAACCGAAGACCTCCTTGACTTCAATGGGGCTCGATTAATCCTGATTGAAAGCAATTACTACCCGTAAGGTTGTCAGCTTAGAGCATTAATCGGCCTTCTACGATGATCCCGCCGGCTGTGATATTGATCGATATTGTGAAAGATGTCCCCATTGAGTGGGTTCGCGAAATTAAAATTCAAGCACTCGAGGGGGCTTATTTTCCATCTTAAATTGGATTCACGCGAGCGAATCTCGTAAACTAATTGAACAGGTTACGATTTCTCGACATCTCGTGGCACGAGAGGGAAAAGAGTAGCTTCGGCATCGAAATCCGACCTCGTCAGGTTCCAGGCTCTCTTGAGTCCAACTCCTTATTCTTTGCCCCGTTCCATCATCTTTCCACCGGCTTCCCATTTACGATGTCATTAAGAAGAGATCTCACCTCGCTCGCCTCTTCTGCTGCCTGCAGATTTACCGACACGACATCAACGGAATACCACTCGGGGCGGGTCGTTGGATATTGAACTGATGGCTTAGCGGGTAGATCATGGCGGAAGGACCAGGAAATATGGGGGGCATATTGCGGACGATGCCAAAGTTGATCCATTTCTCTATTTCTCCATATCTCCGAGACTGCGTTGCTCATCTGTCTCTCTACCAACTGGGACGGCGAAACCATATTCCCCAACACTCCGGCCTTCCCTCACTCTACAAAGTGATACCGCTGCCCACGCCAGAAATATGATCACCAATGTGACAGTAGCCTACGACCCTGGCCATAGACAGTTTCGTTAGGGACCGGATTAAAAGGGAACGAAAACGAACTGCCGAGGTAATCTCACTTGTCGTTCGTTCTGTAGCTATGTTCCGGGGGATCTTCTCTCAATATCGACCGCCCGTAGTCCTGAGTAATTCACATCACTCTGTAAGGATGCCCTCATGGGACCCTCACTTCTAATAGTCTAGGACGAATAGAAAGACCATTGTATTTACTGGTTTACAACATGGTGAGAGAGTGGCTGGGCTCACTGCCTGGTATTTGGGCCAGGTCATTGCCAATCATTCGTCTTTCCCTGAGCCCTGTATAGACTTCCAATATCATCAATCTACGAGTCTTTGGATTGGAGCAACGCAACATGGGAGCCCCAAGGTCCAGGGTACAGCCAGTTTTGGGGGAGCGCCCACACAGCCTAAAGAACTGAAAACACTCCCACCCAATCGTGAAGGTGGTGGCGCATGGCAAAACCCCCCAAATGACGAGGAAGTTGACACTGAACAGAGCTTGAACAGAGCCCAAACAGAGCGGCACAGCCAGCGCAATGGCACTTTCTGTCTCGCTCAACGCACGTATCGAACAACGGCCAAGTCCGAAAGTTAATCTTGGTAGATACGCCTGTCGAAGCGACAGGTTTAGCCACATAACTGGCCCGTTTCTTCTCTCATTCTGCTCCTGGCTCTTGACGTCAAGCTTCTGGCTCCCTCCCTACGTGTGCAGCCGCCGCAACTGTGCCTGTCTAGACGCGTGGAGGCGTGGCGTGTGGACAGATTATCGTCTACTCCGTACTCCATCAATCACTTCTAATTAGCCATGGCCGAAACCACACCGGAGCGTGACTTGATCCTTTCTATTCACCCGCAGCACGTTGCCAATATTGTCAATCGCGTCAAGAATCACGAGTTCCGCAATTACCTCCTGCCAGTGTCCGTGAAGAGACTCTGGATCTACGAGACGAGCCCTGCCTCGTCGATACGGTACGTTGCAACTATAAGCCACGGGAAGCGACCGGGAGAGATTCGCGACCCTAAAGGCTTAAGAAACGACGAGTTTGACCGCGGAGACCTAGAAGGTCGCGTCAAGTATGCCTACGAAATTCTCAAACTGGAGGAACTGCCTGAGCCCTACTCCCTCACCACCCTGAAGTCCAACGGTTGGTTGGGCGGAGCACCCCAGAAATACTGTTTTGTCAAGCCGGCGATGGCCACGGCTCTGAACACTACATCGCTACGACTAGTCTTTGACTCCGTCCCCTCTGCCACTCTTGAGGAGAGCCTTGGGGGTGGTGAAGCTAAACTAAAGTCGGCACCTCCGACTACACTCTAGGGTTCACGGAAGAATGGACCTCCCGGAGGCGTTCACAAAGCGAAATCTACCCGTAAGCCTCGACACCCCAGTAGGCGGAAGCAAACATCCTCAGTCACTGGGTTGGAACCAGAGTTTAGATCTACTGGAGCGTAATTGAGAATTTTCTTTTTTTTTTTTTTTTTTCTTTCGCCAATTGCAATGTCGAGTCATCCGTTGCACCTCGGAAGAAGCAAAACAATCTTGTGCTCCTCACTTCGACTGGGCTTGAACATGAGAGAGAAGAGGGCATCTCCCGATTCAAGTCTCAGCTGTACCCCGCTTCAGAATCTAACGGGAATTGGATACCTGGATTCGAAGAACCAACAGCAGCAAAGTCGATCAATGCCAGCATCGGGTTGGGGAGATCCCAAGCCGCAACCACTTATATTGCAATCCAAACACATCCAGCCGAGCAAAGCGCAGATTAAGCCCGCATTTCCAGCCGCTCTCGTGTGCTACCCCATACTGCCCTATACCCGGTGTACCCGGTGTTGGCCCTGATCTTCCCCCCCCTCCCCAACAAGATCTAGGGGCGGAATGGCTGGGTAAATAGAGCGAGAGAGCGAGGGAACAATTTGGTCATCTATTGAGCCTCCTCGAGCCTCCGATACATTCCACCGAACCCGACGCGGCTAAACCGAAGCAGAGAGGTGCCTCGCCTCCTCCACGCCCAAGCTCCCGAACCCTTCTTACACCAGTGTAATGTGCTCCAATATCCATTAAATCCCGCCGTTATTGATCTCGCCCCACCGTCCGTCCCGTGTCCAGGGCTGCTATAGTGTATTGCTCTCGTACTTTGACGTAGCGCGAAGCTTTCCTTGGCACTTTGTGGGGTGCTATTTTCGTTTTGCTATATCGATCGCGGGTGATCGTGGACCAACTTTGTCAGTCCACTTCATCCGGCTCACGATGGCCTGGCCGGCGTGACTGCTGATAAAGTGAAATGCTCTGCCGCGGGTCGATCTCCCCCACACCAGCAGACTAGTGCATCTCGGCAGCTAATGTGGGCAGCAGGCTTTCCCAATGGAACGCCTTCCACCGTTCCTGGCCGTGGCTTTATCCGAACGCAGGAACGCATGCTCGGCAAGCTCTCGTCATACAAGTGAGCGGCCATCATCAACATATTGTGTGTACCCCGTTCTGGCTTGATCCCAACCAAACGGGACTCCCACGATGCACACACCCTGCATGTAGGCAGACACCCCAGACGGAACGAAGCCATCCCATCCGACAGAACTAAATGACCAACAGCTGCACCATGGCCTCCCTGCCTTGGATCGTGTTCCCCGCACGAGCCGGGATAGAGCCGAGCATAACCAGGCGCGTCGGCATGCTAGGATCGAGCGGGAGAGCGGAAGAGGGATCCATACGTGCCGAATAGTAATGGGTTTGCCTGCTGACCATGACGTTGAATCCGTTTATGTATAAAGCAAAGGGCTGCCGCTGCATGTACCCTGGATTTCGCTGTTGAGAACCAGCGAAAAGCTCTCCCGTTCGTTCGAGAAAAAAAGAGGATCCTCATCAGTGTGCTCACACACGAGGCCACCTTCCCCAGCTGTTCCCGGTCTGATCCTGCATTGACATCTCCCCGCCCACCCGTGCACCAGAATGCGTGATCTCTTGCTCCCCACCGTCCTCCTGGGCCTCCTTGGAGGAGCTCAATGCTTCAATTTCCCCTTCGAGGACCTCGACCTCACGGAAGAGAACTTCCAACGAGGCCAAGGAGGCTACTCCGACATCTACTTCGGCGACGCCTCCCGTCCCAGGCTCTCTCGAGCCGAGTGCAAGGCCACCCCTGGCACCGCCGATTGGCCTAGCGACCGCGAGTGGGAGCGTCTCGGCGAATTCCTCGAGGGCGCCCTGCTCAAGCCCGAACCGCCTACCGCCGTGTGCTACAAGGATCATCCTCTGTACGACGAGGCCAAGTGTCGGGATATCAGGACCAATTCCGGCTCGAATCGGTTCTTTATCGATGATCCGCTGAGCGTGTTGACTGCGTGGCCGCAGGGGAATACGTGTCCTTTGGAGGTGAAGCCGAATACTACTTGTACTCATGGAGGATTTCCCGAGTATGTGGTCAATGTGACGGAGGTTTGGCAGATTCAGACGGCTGTCAACTTTGCTCGGAACAAGAACATCCGTCTCGTTATCAAGTAAGTACAAGCTATCTACGCTTTTTCCCCCTGTGGTTTGGTTTTCAGGAGGGAAAAGAAATAGTAGGTAGAATAAAATAAAACTAACCGGATCCCGTTCAAAGGAACACCGGCCACGACTTCCTCGGCCGCAGTGTCGGCGCAGGATCCATCAGCGTCTGGACTCACTTCCTCAAGCAGTTCGAGTTCCTCCCCGAGTACACTCAGGGCCGATACAAGGGCCCCGCCGCCCGCGTCGGCGCCGGCCTTGAGTCGTGGGAGATGTACAACTTCATGGACGAGCACAACGTCACTTTTGTTACTCCCGGTCGATACACCGTCGGTGTTTACGGCGGGTGGTTCCAGGGCGGCGGCCACAACGCTCTCTCGTCGTGGTACGGCATGGGCGCGGATCAGATTCTGTCGCTTCAGGTCGTTACGGCTGACGGGCGATTCGTTACTGCTGATACTGAAGAGAATACTGATTTGTTCTACGCTCTCCGTGGAGGCGGTCCAAGTTAGTTCCCTTTTCTCCTAAACTAGTTGTCTCGCATTGAGAATTCAAACAGCTAACTTACATTTTTCCCCCTCCAGGCACTTATGGTATCGTAACCTCTGCCATCGTCAAAGCCCACCCCCGCGTCGTAGTCCGAAACGCCGCTCTCTCCTTCCAAACCAGCAAGGACGTCGACGTCGAGGCTTTCTGGACCGCCGTCAACCTCTACCACTGGTACGGCCAATACATCACCGAGGTCGGCGGCACGTCCTACAACTACGTCACCTACACCGGCAAAAACTCGTACACCTTCACCGCCGACAACGAGTTCCCCGACCTCAGCGACGAGGAAATCATCTACTTCCTCACGCCGCTCTGGGACTCCCTCCGCGAGGCTGGCATCCCCGTCAAGAACATCACCGTCGCGCCGACGTCCAACTGGGCGCCTTCTTCTAACGGCGGTACGGGCGACGCCCCAGGAAGCCAGCGCTTCGCCAGCAGGCTCTTCCCGCGCAAGAACTGGAAGGACGAAGACCTCTTCGTTAAGACCATGGCCGCCGTGCGTGAGATCGTCGAGGCGACATACACCTTCCACGGCATCTTCATGAGCCCCACGTCCACCATCGCGGGCTGGCCAGGCGCAGACAGCGGTTTGAACCCAGCGTTCCGTGAAACGTACATGCACGCCGACATCTTTTACACGGGCGACATCTCCAAGACGGAGCCCTTCAACGCCGTCATGGACAAGTTGCGGAACGTGACGGCCGATGGTGGCGCGTACATCAACGAGTCGGACGTCGAGGAGCCCAATTGGCAGCAGAGCTACTTTGGGAATAAGTACGACAGGCTTCTGCAGATTAAGAAGAGGAGGGATCCATGGAATGTGTTTTGGGCGCCGAGTACGGTGGGGAGCGAGGGATGGGCTGTGAGGAAGGCGGAGGGGGATGTGTTTCCTTCACAGAATGGGCCGCTCTGCAAGGTGAGTGCGGCTGCGGCTGCGGCTGCGGCGTAAGGGAGAGCAGAGGAGAAAGGTAGTGGTAGCGGATGCATGTCTTGATAGCGATGGCGAGGATGTGAGATTGTTAATATGAAGTAATTTCTGTCAGACTTTTGCTAGGCTCGTTGTGATTGATGTCGTAAGTCTGGTTTTGGGGAGGAGAGAAGGGGGAGTCGTTGCAAGAGGAGGAGGTAACCGTATCTAGAGTGCCTTCATTGACGGAAGTGGGAATCGTTCCCAACCGTTGTAAACTACGCAGCATTTCCTGGGCTGAAACGAAGACGCTCGACCGCTGAGGTGACGAGGCTCTGGATGGCCAGCTCAGTTATATCCGACTGTTCGTTCAACTCTTCGGCCACGCCTACGTTTACTTTCTCCGGCACAGCAATACCAGCGTCAGAGGCTGTACGAATTGCGAAAATAGACTTTTACAGGAGACTCTTCCCGAAGAGCAAAAAAAGATTGGGGAAATGATTTTCGATTTCGTATACCCTAGCTCAAGCGCCAAAAAGTCTACCACAAACCCATTTCCACCTTTTTTAAACCATGTCATAACCTCTAAACGCATTTCTATGACCATAACCTCATAAACGCCATCGCTCAGTCGTCAAACAGAAAAGAAAGAAAATCATCCGGCTTCCTCCCCCTATCCAACCAACAGACCAGAACATCAAAAAAGACGCAAATCCGCAGGGCGAAAAGGATGAGGAGCCCGACTACAAAAAATGAACGATAGTAAAGAGGAGAATCATGACGACGGCGAGATCGTAAATCACTTCGTGGACGTATTTGGCTTCGTTGGCCAGGTTCTGCTCGAAGGCAGCGGTGTCGTTGAGGGTGGTTCGCTTAGACGGGGAGTTGGACGGGTTGTTGGGGGCGGCGGCGCTCTCGGCATTCTTCGCTGTGGCTGATAATATGATCAGTGTTAGATATTGGCGCAAGATAAAAGCAGAAAAACGAGACTCGTACCAAAGGTCATACCGTCCCCGGAACAACATGTACAGGAGGGGCCAAAAAAGGGAGGATGGTTGTCTAAAAGAGAGAGAAGATAGGAGTTAGTAGAGGGTTGCGAGGAAGGGGAATGATAGCTGGGAACAAGAGGGGGCAGGAGGAGGAGGGGGAGGAGGATGAGGAGGATGAGGAAGAGGTATCCTTGCCGTGAAGTATATTCCTGGGAATAGGACAAACAGAGCGAAGGGCCAAACGTACCCTTGGGACATTTCGGGGCATCGTCTGAAAATGGGTTAGCACTTCCCTTTACCTACGATGGACGCAATAGATGTGGGGAGGAGGAAGAAGTAGAGGTTACCGTTCTCGTTCTCGCTCACAATAGGGCGGACGAGAGTCGCCAGGATGAGAACAACAGGAATGATACGTGAGACGGCGACCATTCTGGATAGAGAGGGATTGTTAGCAAAAGACACAAGAGCACTGATGACTGAGGACAGAGGAACCGAGGACCGAAGGCGTACTTGACGAATGATGAATATCAAGATGAAAAAGGACGAGGGTAAGTATGCTGATGATGAAACAACAGTTATTTTTGATGAAAACCTGATGAAACTGCAATGCAGAGGATTCCAATCCAAGGTTATTTGGAGGAGAAGAAAATTTGAAAAGCAGAAGAACCCAGAAAGGAGCCCTCCCTTTATAGGTTTTCTGGGGGCGGGAGTGATTGTGTCCAAGATCCGCAAGATCCCGCGATTTACGGAGGTGACCTCCGCGTGAGCTCCGAACTGTGTGACCGGAATATTTGTACTGTTATTTTACAGCCAATTAAAGTGTAGGATCAACGTGTGATTTATGTACATAGACACTGTACCTCACTGATTATTTTTTCTTTTTATTTTTCACAGGCTTCTTTTTTAAATAGAAGAAGAGAGTGATTGTGATTCTTTGATCTGTGTATCAAGTTAAAGCTTAGTCGTCAGCAGAATTTTTCATTTTACTTTGTTCTTTTTCTCTCCTTGTTGCATCTCTAGCCCGGGGAAGGGAACAGTCGGACCTGACTCTCGAGATGCCAACTCGAGCCTTGACGAGGAGCCCTGTTCATGACGTCAAGGAGAAGTCTAGATACGAACGAAACATCTTTGAAATGGAAATCGATCTATTGGAGCCAGAAACGCCTCTCCCTCAAATCTACCCTCGAGTGAATAACATCCCTCAAAGACGAACTCCTACATCTCCCAAAAATAGCCATCAAGAAAACAAAAGAGAAGCTCAAGAGGTATGAAACCGTCTATGAGCAAGCGACAACCTTGGCAATGACGTCCCATATGTACAATCCAGATGTATATGCCGCTCCCCTAGGCCCCTTAATTCTCCTTCTTCGCACAAATAGGGCACCCACCACGCAGCCTATCCTTCAGCAACCTCGCATGCGTAACCTTCATCCCCACAAGATACCTGCCCCCACGATCCTCCTCGTCGACGCTAAACGGCGCTTCCAACGCGGCGCCGGGCCGTATGATTTCCATCAGGTGTGAAAGATGAAACACATGCCCGCAGGCAAAGCCAACGAGGCTCTCTACCTCAAAGTCCGTGAACGGCTTATGACACTTTGAGCAGTGGCCCGGCTTAGCAGGCTCGGAGAAGATGTCAATCTCCTTCACCGTGGCGGAGTCGTCGTCGTCGCTGGCTTCCGATTCCAAAACGACGTCAGAGCTCGGTACCGATTCGAACTTGATGCCCCTCTGCTGGCCTTTGCGCAATTCTCTCTGCGCAGCTGCGACTTCGCTTCGAAGCACCCTCGCGACACCCTCGCTTATCGAGTACTGGATCTCATGTTCCTTCATGATGTGTCTGATGCCTTCTCGGAGGCCCTCGATCTCTAGTCCCTCGGGTATACGCCGCACCAATGTGATGGGGTTGATGGCTGTCCCCACTTGCTCGAGCAGACCGCGGATGAAGCTTGGCTTGTCCATACTGTAGGTGAGCAGGTCTTCCCACAGGTCGGGGTCATCTTGCTCCTTGGCGAAATCGATGGCCTTCTTGACGTTGTGCAGTCGGTCGATGATGAGGAAGAGGGCACGCCTCATCTGGCCTGTCTTTGAGTAAAGATAGACGAGTTCGTCGTCGTAATTGTACTGCTCGCACTCTTGGACGGCCTAGTGAAGGTCAGTGGTGAGCTAAAACATAGACCTTTCTGTGACTGGGTGGGAGGAACAAGAATAACTCACCTTTTCAAAGGCGTAGGATTGCGACGTCCGAAGGAACTCCATCAAGAGTGTGCGATCATACATAGCGAACAACCGCACAGCAAGATCTCCAAAGTCATCAACCAGCGATTTCGTTTCTACCAAAAGCCTATCGCGGCTCTCGATGCCATGCTCCTGACAGCCCTCGCCTCTCCAAAGACCTCGCAGGTAGAAGAACAGGTACAGATTCAAGTTCTGCTTCTCCAGCTGCGAAACCACATCCTTCGGCTTCACCAACCCATGCTGAGCCTCGCCCACCAGTAACGAGATAGCCTCGGACGTCGCAGCCTCGAAATCACCAGCGCCCATATCGTCCATCTTGTTCGCCGGTACACGCAGCCCGATGAATTTGGGAATGTCATCGGCCACGGCATCTGCCAAGTGGAAGTCTCTTATTAACCTAAAGGCAGAGTCCGCGTCCTGGAGCCGGATGTAACATTTGAGAGCTTCTCGGTATCGCCCGCTCGCCTCGTGGAGCTTTGCTAGGCTTTCTATAACGATCCGCCAGTCGCGTCCCTTTTCTCCGCCCTCGACGCTGTCTTCCCTCACGTCTCGGTAGGTGAGCTGGTTCTCCAGCGTCGTCGTGATGGCGTTAACGTCGAAGAGTTCCGTCGGCCATCTTTCGAGAAGATCCCGGAATCGGAGCTTATCCGTCTGAATGTAATGACCAAGGACAACTTCATAGATGGTCTTGGGCGCCGGCGGCGTCATGGGTGCGGTTGGAATGTAGTTGACGATCTCGTCAAACTTCTTCGCGCCGGCAAATGTCCAAACCCATTTCTCCCATCGGTCAGGTGTGTTGAGGACCTTGCCGCAAACCTGTCCTGCTGTTACCCAGTCGCCAGCTTCGACAAGCTCTTGAATCCAGAGCTCTCCAATCCTCCTCTTCTCCTTCGCTGCTGATGAAAACAAGGCGTGTCCCGGCAGCTCCGTGATGGAAGAGCGGTCGTCGTGGATCTCTTCAGGTTCGGCCTTGCTAGGCGTGGATGGCAATGCTTCAGGTGCCCTCTCAGTCGGCCCCGTAAGGATCTCTGGGTGTTCATCGAGTAGCTCCCACCCTTGCTTGTACTGTTTGTGCTCAACGAGCCAATTGAGGTGGTCGCCTAGATCTCGCTTTGTTGCCAAAATGCAATCGTAAGGGCTGTGGATGAAGATCTTGGCGCCTGGTTTGACGAGGTTGGGATGAACTGTAGCTGATGGCAGCCCGATCACTCCCATGCCGCCACTGCTCCTAAGACTAGACGCTGTATCTTCAGCACTGCCTCTACTCATGATGCTTGCCCCAGAGCTAAAAAGTGACCTTGGGTTAATGGCGGCGTTCCACATCTCCGTGCCTATTCCTGCAATGGCGCCAAGAGCTCCCCGCTGGGAGACTACTGCCGATGCAGCATTACGTGCTGGAAGAATGCCTAGGTGATAATCGGCGGACGACAACCGCTCGTAGCGGCTGACACTGAGGCCGTCTTTGTCTACCTCGGCTTGGGAAGTGAGGTCGATCAAGCGTAGTTCGGGTTGAAGGTTGTTCTGTCGGCGGCGGATACCGCCCCGAGGCTCACTACTGACGGTAGACGTAGAGGATTGTGATCGATGACCTTTCTGAGACTTTTGGGGCGACAATCCGTCATTACTCTCCTCCTCTTCGTCTTCGTCATCAGGCTGGCAGTAAGCCAGTACAAGCAAGAGGTTTTCGGTGTACAAAGAGATGCCGGAGATGATACAGTCCATGCGGAGTCTGTCGGGATAGCATAAGCCTGTCAAAATCATTTCAAGGCCACAATCAGTAGAACGTGAGGGGGTAATACTAACACTTTCGCAATCTCGGCCCTCCCGACACTTCTCTCCCCGACATCTGTTCCAACACCGATCCCGCCTGGGTGCACATGGATAATCCAAATCGTACCACCCCAGCCGACGAGTAACCGTTCGATAGACCGCGTGCTCGCCTTCGCCTGGCGACGAAGTAGATCGGCTGCAGGGGATGTGGCAGCGTCTTCAGGGCGCGTTTCCGACTCGTCAGACTCAAGGGCCTGCTCGTCAATCCACTCCGCACGGCCTTTCCACACGCTGGCCATCGTTTCCCACTCATCTGTCTGCGGCCGGTCGATATGGCCAATGCGCTTCCACGCATCCTCCTGGTCGCTGCTCTCGAGCTTGAGCTTGGTACGCATGATCTTGATGCCATGCTCGTTGAGCCACACGACGTATTTTCCAGATAAAGACCACTTGATTGTGCTGATAGTGCCTTCACCAGAGTGAAGGATAGTATCCTTGCCAGTGTTGGTACCGATACCCATGCTTCCCAGCCACCCGGACGCTGTTGCCGCAGCGGTTCCTATCGTTGTTGAGACACTCCTACCAGGCTGACCGCCGACAGTAAGGATAAGGTTGCCAGCCAGACCACCTGACAGGTACGTCCTGTCACTTTTGTACTCGGGGGAGAGCGCCACCGTTTGGACAGGGCGAGCGAAACTCCTAAGCTGAACATCCTTCATATCAATGAGAGATTGGATGCAGACGTTGCCGTCTGTCGAGGACGTCGCGATATATATATTGTTTGACGGCGTGTTTGGCACGGCCGGTACCTCGCGAGGCCGCCTAGACGAACCAGCACCAACCGTCGCCTCCGTGGACCGAGACTCGGGCCTTGAGATTGAGAGTGTGTGGCTTCTTAATAAAGAGGGAGCTTCCGGGGTCGCGGAAGGAAGTGGAGGTGGATATGGGGAGATGGATATGCTCGTAACGGAAGCCGAATGGGCGTGGTAGACTCGAAGAGATTGAAAGAGAGGTAATTGTATGACATTCTGAGCGTAATGGTTGGTTAGCAGCTTGGAATACAGGCCTGACCACATCCCACCAGGGCAAAATGACAAAAGCTTACAATATTTCCATTGTGTGTTCCAACAATCTAGATGATTATATTAGCGAGGGAATATCGGGGGCATGGCATCTAAATATCGACACAGAGCATGGCATACCATCTTGTCGCCTGCGACTAAGAATGAGCTAGTAGCATCGCCATTGCGGTAGACTTGGCGCAGGTGCTGTGTTAATCGAGCGTATTTGAGGGTAGGTTCGTCATCCTCCTCATCTTCATCGTCCTCGTCCTCGTCCTCATCTTCACCCTCATCCTCATCCTCCTCTTCTTCATCCTCTTCCGTCTCGGCCGAGTCATTGCGTTCCGCACGTTTGCTCGTCTCGGCTGGGCGTCGTTGTCCGCTCGGCTCGGCCCCCGACTCTCCATTCGTATCCTCGCCTACACCTTTGTTCTTCGAATCTGGATTCTCTCCCTCTCCATTATTTCCTGCGGAAGCAGCCGTCTCTTCAATTTTCGAAGCTCTATAGCTCTCGCTGGTGGTCGGGTTGGGCTCAGGTTCGGGTTTGGGATCTAGCTGCGTGAGGGAGCTGTCGCTCTGGTCGGCGGAATCGCCCGTCATCGTGGCACAACTGCAACTTCGAATGGCATTCTCTAAGGAAGAGATGTCGAGTTACCTCGCTGGAGGAGTCGGCGCAAGCTTAGTTCAATGGTGGGGAGCTGGGGAAGTTCAACAAAACAACTGCCTGATGTGACGATAGCTCAGGTTGGTCGTCTTGAAGAGCTGCAGGTACATGGTACATGTACATGTGACCTGTCCCATCTTGGCTCGGTTCCTGACATTGGGTCCCAACGATTTCGGTGGACAGCCAATCGCAAGTAAGGAAGAAATACTCTCGGTGAGTCGTGATCGATTAAGCATTCGGGATTTGACCCTAAAGCATGTTCAATATTGGAAAGCAAGAATGACACACTTATGGTCGTGACGCCAATATATTTCTTTTCTGAGATAAACTGCCTCTGGTTCGTACAAGTTGGTATGGATTACTGGTACTTCCCCTATTACCTTCAAGTGCAATGGAGCAATTAGCTGCGGTCTTATTATATTAGTTCCCCTTGAGAAGCAACTCGAGCGAAACAGGTGGCGCCAGGCTGCAGACGCAGCGCCTCCAGACAAAAGCTGCTTCGGGAAGCAAGCATGAGATTTGGTGAGACTCTTGGAAGTACGAAGGTACGAGGTACAGAACCTCAAGAGGTCCACCAGACCTGCCCAGATGCCTCAACGTTGACTAAGCAGATTGGACAGTGCGTCTCGAACCGGAGTTGAGCTCACTGATTAGCCCCACTAAAACGTCAACCATATCAGCCCTATCCACCACTAAATCGCCGTGTCAAACCAGCTAAACCCAGGCTGGAGGGGCAGTTTGGTGCTGTTTCTGCCCACAAGCTCGGCGCGTCAACCGTCTTCAGGCGCGTTGCTCCCGATTGAAGTTAACGACACTTCGGTTTTGCGCATCACTGCCACGAACAAAGACCCGGCAGAGCAGTCTTCAACCACCCCATTGCACCCGATGCCCGTGATATAATCGAACCCATTCGACCGCTCCGCCCGCCTTGCGATGTTCACCATCCCAGCATGGCATCCGTCAAGTCACTAGGGCTGCACCAGCCCTCTGGGCTACGGCACGCGGTCCAGGAGCAGATCCTCCCTCCCAATCCAAAGCCTTCCGATTACCGTTGGGAGATATCCGTCGAGCACAATGGCGACCAGGACATCGAAGACGAGCTTCTTATCACCGACACCTGCGTCATCTGGTCGCGGGGTCAGGTCTTTCGCAAAGCTTTCAGGCTCGACCTCGAGAAAGAGACCATCACGCACGCCCTCCTGACATACTTTCCCACTTCTGAACACGAACGGCAAAGTGAAACCACGTCCACTTCTTCGAAATCGAGTACAGAGGCGAGGCTGTTAGCCAAGGCCCTGGTCGTCTTCCTCAAGACTCAGGCCCATATATACTTCCTCTCTGGCACGAGCCATGTTGTTCATATGCCCTTTGAAGTCGAGTCGGCCTGCGCTGCACCCCAGGGCGTCATCATTCAGCGCAAGCAGCGATCCGATAGCTTTGCGCCCGTATCCCTTCGTTTTCCCCGTGTGCCACCAAACTCCTTCGTCTCGTCGCAAACCACAAACTTCTCCGCTAGCCTGCAAAGACCGCCGTCATCTTCTTTCTCCGTAGAAGGTCTGGGAAAGCCGAAGGTCCTGCCATTGAGGCTCAGTTCGACACTGGGTAACATGTGGGAGTCGCCCATGGAACAGCCAGAGTCTCATTGGCCGAGACTGGTGTGCTTGACAGACCCTCTTCTCGAGCTCGGCCTTGTCGTTGGAGCTCCCAAGGTTAATAGTCGAGGGAAGTCGAAACCAACGCCCGCATCGACTGGGCGACCACTCTTCCTGGATCCTGCCGAAGAGATACTCCACATCGAAAAGGTCTACGATGCGGGACTAGGTAACGCCCCGGCTAGCACGTTAACGTTAGCAATTACTGTCAACCGTGATGCCAACATATACACCGTCTGGCGTCTGGACTACCTGAAGCAGGAAGATCCTTTTATAACTCGGCCAAAGAAGTCCAGATCCAAGAGTATACGGCGTCGGAGCTCTATGCAACCTCCTTGCGCGAGTGGCGCAACTACCCCAACCCAGTCCCATTTTAGGGAAAGCTTCGGCGCGCCTCTACCAGGAAAGAGGACACGGGCCCGAAAGAGCGAGGGCGCAGATAAAACTAAGGATCTCGTCGCGTCCTCTCTCGAGCAAGACATAGAGCAGGGTACCAGGCGCCAATCACGCCGGATAAGCTCAATGCTGGCGAGAGCTGATTTGTCTTCATCCCAGTATGCCGAGCAGCCGATGATGACGGGACATAACACTTCGAAGCGGATTGAGTCTTACGGCAGCCAATACGGCCGCCACAGCGGGGGTTATGGCTCATTCAATTATAGCCAGACGATACATCCAAGTTTGAACAGCCTTCTGGAAGCACCCATCGACAATGTGCTCGATGAACTCCGAGCTGGCGGGGATTTTGAAGGATTCCACAATATGGGCCTGGATGACCACGACTTCGATGGGCTTGCCCAAGAAATATCCTTTACCAAGATCAAGAGCATCTCTATAGATACCTCCAACATCCGATACTCGGTTTCGTCCCAGCCCGCTACATCACAATGCCGCGTCTTCATCCTTTCTGCTCCCCCTTCTGCCGTTGACGAAAACCAGCGCACGCAAGTTGTCATTGGCATCCAAGACACTCTTGAAAAGAGATTACAACTCCTCACCCTCCACTTCCAAGCAGCCGAAAAGCCCGACATATTGTCAAAGGCGAGCAAGAAGCCTGCATCACTCACCGGCGAAGCCATAATCCCACAATGTGGCGAGCTTCGGCGTGCCGAAAGCGTCGTGGATTCGTGCAAGATTTCTCATGGCAACTTGGCCATGACCTTCATCTTGTCTGAGAAGCTTGGCGGCGGACACGAGCTGAGCATCCAAGCACCATGGGGCCCCATGACAACAATCGCCCTTCCCTTGCTTTTCCTCGATAATGTTCGTAGCTTGCAGTTTAATGGACGGGAAGTAGACCGCGATCTTCGACAGCAAAAGTCCGAGACAATCAGCTGCGAGAACGGTAGTATCGTGAGACTCGCACATCCCAAGGGCAGAGGAGTGGTTGATCTGGTGGATACAGAGGGCCGCCTGCATCAAGTACGCATTCAACTTCAACCATCTTCTCTGTTGGTTCGACGGGTCCTCGAAATTTGTAGCAACGTCCTCCCGTTCCCTCACGGAGGCAAGTATCTTGGGGGCTGGTGGCATGTCATGCAATGGTGCAAGCAGGAGAATATCGAGGTGGCCGACCTTGAGTGGTCTTGCCTTGTGATCGAGCTGCTGGCTTCGTATCTAGCCCTGGATCCCGCCCACCTGAAGGCTCAGGCCTCCCGTGTCGGCAGGTCCCGAAGAAACCGGCGTACTGCGTCGACTTCCCTTAGCATTGCTCAAGCGACGGAAGACTGGAATGCAATGCTGTCCTATGAGGCCAAGAATTCCCTTGCCTGCCCGGATTGGATGCTGGGCCCCGGATGGCAGTGGGCTTTTGATGATATCATGAACAAGGATCCCGAGCAGGATGACACTACACTCTTCCAAACGGGTTTCATGGCGACTCATATCCGTTACGCCAAGCAATTTCTTACGTCCAGCATCGGAGAGCACGCTTTTGGAGCAGCCGGGTTTCTTCCAACAAGTCAGGCCCTCGGCGCCGACTTCCAGAGGCGAGCGGCAAGTGACATATTCATGGCCTTGCACCTTTTGCTCGAAGAGCAAAAGCTCGATATCATGACTCCTGAAATTAGTTCTTCTGGAGGCGTGAACTTGAAGGTTGTCCTCTGCCAGATTGCGCGGTGGCTACAGTGGTCCAACTTCTCTACCCTCTATGGCGTTGGTATCCAGGAGGACTTGGACCCCAGTCTTGACTCAGGTACGTTCATACACTTCCAGCGAATCTCCATTTGAGCGGTCCTGAGAGGTACGTTCACTAACGTTGAAGCTAGAATTGAGTCTCTCTACACCTATCCCCGAGCCCCCGAGCGTACCTTGCGTCTTTGAATGGGCCGAATCCTACCTTACCACTCGCAAGGGCATATCTTTCCCTACCTTGGCTGACATCTACTTCGAAACAATGCGCATCAGCGAAAAGAACCGACGCAATACCGACCGATTCGCCTGTCTTACTCCTAGAACTTTTATGTTGAAACGGCTCTTCATGCAATTAAAACCAGGGTCTTTCTTTGTAGAAACCGTTGAAGCAATCCACAAAGCGGGCATCACGACAAAGGTCATGGAATCATTACCAGAGGCACTTTTGATTCCCATAAGGGATGCCATCTCGCGTTGCCAGCCTCACCCACCTAATAGCTGGTCCAGGGAGCTTTTGGAACTTGTCAATCGTAGCGATATGAACCTCGTCACGGCAGCCACAAAGAGATCTCGACCCTACACTGGTCAATTACTAGTGAGTTTCAAAACACCTGAGACTCCCTTCGGAGAACAATACTAACCTATTCCCTCCCCCCCTATATAGGCCCCTACACATACGGCTTCGTGGGATTTCCAAATGCTTTGCCAGAGTCTAGACGAGTACAATAGCGTTGGCTGTGACGACGGCGAGGGCAACGAACTTCAGTCCATCATTCGTGCTCTGTTCAAGGACGACCGGCGTTTAAGCGAAGCCCAGGACATCCTATCTACCCACAAGGCACGCGTCGTACGCCTCGACCCGGTTCCCGGGTGGACCGAGAGCGAGTATTTGGAACAGCAAAAGGAACTTGTATCCAGAATCGCGATCGGTACCCTCGCCATTCCTGCTGGTCGTGGTCTTCTCTACTACAGTCTCCGCTTCCCGTTGCTTACGCAAAAATTCCATATTGGCGGGTTCAATCTCAACTGCGTCGTCAAGCCCACAAACGTAACCGTGGGCGTCGACAAGACGCAATTTACCGAGGAGAAGGTCTGCTGGGGATTCTTCCACCAGGGAGTATCCGCCGGCCTATCCATCTCCCCCAACGCTAAGGGTATTGACACCTCGTGGATTCTTTACAACAAGCCCAGCCAAGACTTGAGCAATAGACATGCCGGATTCCTCCTAGCGCTTGGCTTGAACGGGCATTTGAAGGGAGTCGCCAAGTGGGTGGCCTTCAAATACCTGACACCAAAGCACACCATGACTTCAATCGGTTTACTTCTCGGTCTTGCCGCCTCCTACATGGGAACTATGGATTCCCTCATCACGCGGCTGCTGTCGGTCCATGTTACGAGGATGTTGCCGCGCGGCGCCGCCGAGCTGAACCTCTCGCCGCTTACGCAGACGAGCGGCATCATGGGCATAGGGCTGCTATATTGCAACAGCCAACATCGCCGGATGAGCGAGGTGATGATGTCGGAGATTGAACACATCGACGAGGAAGACGAGGAAGAGCCCCTCCGAAGCGAAGGGTACAGGCTGGCTGCGGGCTTCGCTCTCGGTTTCATCAACTTGGGCAAGGGACCCGACCTCAGGGGACTCCATGACATGAGGCTCACAGAGAAGCTAATCGCACTCGCGACAACGGCCAAGAAGGTCGAGATTACGCATATCCTCGACCGGGCTGCTGCCGGTGCTGTTATGGCCATCGCTTTGATGTATATGAAGTCGGATGATCACATCGTCGCCCGCAAGATCGATGTCCCCAGCTCCATCGTCCAGTTCGACTACATCCGACCCGACATTCTTATGCTTCGCACTCTCGCAAGGCACCTTATTCTCTGGAGCAAGATCCAGCCGTCCCAAGAATGGGTCAAGAACAGTCTTCCGAAGGAATACCAAGCCGGGCATCTGCTAACGGGCTATAACCATCTTACGACTAAGAGCCTCCCGTTCTTCAGCATCCTCGGCGGAATCTGCTTCGCATTGGGTCTCCGGTTCGCCGGAAGCGCCAACACCGAAGCCCGAGACCTCCTCATATCCCTTCTCGACCAGCTGATACGCATCACGCGCCTCGAGCCCACCTCAGAGGACCAGCCCGTCTACGACGAGGAGCTCGCCCGCACCTACGCCCGCACCTGCCAAGACATCGTCGCCATCTCAGCCTCCATAGTCATGGCGGGCACGGGCGACCTGGTCGTCCTCCGCCGCCTCCGCTCCCTACACGGACGCGATGACCCCACGACGCCATACGGCTCCCATCTCGCAGCCCATCTCGCCGTCGGCGCGCTTTTCCTCGGCTGCGGCACCGCCACGTTCGCGACGACGGATGTGGCCATCGCAAGTCTGCTCGTGGCGTTCTACCCCGTGTTCCCGACGACGGTCATGGACAACCGGTCGCATCTGCAGGCGTTTAGGCACTTTTGGGTGCTCGCGACGGACCAGCGGTGTCTCGTCGCTAAGGATTTCGGCACCGGCCAGCCGGTCAGCGTCCCCGTTAAGATTGAGCTGAAGAAGAACGCGGCCGCTCCGGGAAGGAAAGGGGGCGCCGTGCTGCTTAAGAATACACCGTGTCTCCTCCCACCGCTTGAGGATGTCGTTCGTCTGCGGACGGATGCGGGGCCTACGTATTGGAACATCGACCTCGATCTTTCCGCGTACGCCGCTGCTACTAAGCGGCCTAGAGTTAAACCCCAGACGCTTTCCTCGTCTACCACGGCCCCGGCAACGGCGAAGGATGAGGCCACCAATACTACAAAGGTCATCCACCTCCGCCGCCGCCCGCCGAAACCGACACCCTTCTCGACCCAGCTCTCGTCGGTCCACACCAGCACCACGGGTACCCCCTCGCCGTTTACATGGCTCTTCAACCTCCCCGCCCTCGCCAGCTTGTCCCCCTCCGATCGCAACGCGGTCCTAGACGCCGACCCGGATCGCCTCGGTAGCGCCGTCGATGTACGGCTGGAACTGCAGCAGGCCGTGGAAAAGGGGGAGCGGGATGCGCTTCTGGGACTTAAGCTCGTGTTTGAGTGGATTAGGAGACGGGAGCAGATACAGCAGAAGAAGAGGAGGAGGGGAGGTAGGACTTGGCAGGAGGAGGAAGAGGAGGAGGACGGGGAGTGGTGGGTTAGGAAGGGGGTTGTGGAGGGGTTGAAGGGGAGTGTTTGGCTTGCTGGGCGCGAGGGTTGAAAATTCACGAGTATCATTGTGTATGAGTGATTGAGGAATGATAACCTGTTTTTTGATGATGTCGAACAAAGGTGTTTTAAAGGTCATACATAGACTTCGGTATCATGGGGAGCATAATACACCAAGATTACGATCAGGACTTGGCTCAAGATGGATGGGGTGAATGGTGTTTTTATATCAACTATCTTCCTCGCAGACAACCTCGCAGACAACCTAAAACTAAACACGAAAAGGGACCCAAAACCACACAGAGAGAGAGAGCCCCCGATTCCCCAGTTTCAAACAAGACAAGACCGAAAAAGGAAAACAAAAAAGATACTCCCATTAAGATTTGTCTCTCTGAACGCCTTGCAATGCAGATATTCCCTGCCCTTTTTTTTTTCTCTCTCCTAGCCGTTAAATACACTGCGTCTATTTCTGGCTTGCCCGTCTTTTCGTCGTCCATCATAAACAAGTTCTTTTTTTGGAGGAGAAAAACCTTGCCGATATCTAACCATAGGGGAAGAAAGATGAATGGCAAAATCAAAAATCTATAGGAAAACCCCTGCCTCCACTTAACTTCCTCATTGTCTCTTCTCCTATTTAGACACGGCAGAGGACATAACAGTAGTCCTAAAGAAGACTCCCTTCGTCTTCTCAACGACCTGCTGATGCACATTGCTAGGCGGGTGGTTTATCGTCACGACGCCCTGCTGGGCATCGATCTTAGCATCGAGGCGCGTGTCGCGGATAAGGTTGACGATCCACTTCTCGCCGTCGTCCGGGTTGAGGCCGAGCTTCTCGGAGAGGTCGCGGATGTAGAACTTGCAGCAGATCTTGCAGTAGCTCTCGCAGATGAGGTGGCGGGCGGCGTCGACGAAGACGTCGGTCGACTCGGCGAGGAAGAGGTCGTTGCGGCAGAGCTGCTCGGCCTTGGCGAGGGCGGTGGGGGCCTCGTCGAACTGGAACGAGATGTAGAGGGAGGAGACGAACTCGGTTATGGGGTCGTGGTACTCGTATTCTTCCTGGCGGATGTAGCGGACTAGGTCCTTGATCTGCTTCTGGTGGACAGAGGAGTTGCGGGTGCGGCCGCGGCCCGTGATGATGGCGACGGCCAGGTAGCGGAGGATCCAGGGGCAGTTGATCTGGATGGTGTTGATGTAGTTGGCAGACAGGAACAGGTCGAGGATGGGATCCCGCGCGGCCTCGTGGTTGAAGAGGGGGAAGAGGGCCCAGTGGATGAGCATGGTGCGCTGGTCGAGCTGCGCGCGGGGATTGTTGAAGAGCTTGGTGTCGATGCTCTCCTTGACCTTCATGAGCTCCTCAACGGCGGAGTCCCAGTTGGCTGTCAGGATGTCGGAGGCGAGCTTGCCCCACGTAGCGTTGGTGACTTTGTCGTTGTCGGTCGAGAGGACTCGGAACTTGTATAGGAGGTCGGCCGCGGATTGGTAGTCACCGCATCGGAACTGGAACTGGCCAAAGTCGTAGAGCGCGTTGACCATGTCGATAGTGACCTATTGGAGAGAGCAGGATACCAGTCAGCTATGTCACATATCCTAACCAAATCACACAACCGAAGGGGGAAAGAAAGGGAAAGAAAAAGGGCTCGCTACTCACACCATGCTCCTTCTCGAGGAAGGCCAAGTTAGCAACCTTATCACTCCTCAAATGATTCACAACCTCATCCGTAATAAGCAACTCCGAAAGCCTAGCCGTATCCTGCACAAACTTCTCCATCTGCTGCAGTACGGCCTGCCTCTGCTTCGCGTACTTCTCGGGCGGGTCCGTCCCGTGCAGCTGTGAGTACAGGCTGGCGACGTAGTCGCTCATGTTGGTGCCCTCGAGGAGCTTGATCTTGGCCTCGAGAACCTCGCGCTCCTTCTGCTCGTCGCCGGCGTCGGCGGCCTTGCCGGCCTCGAAGTCGAGGAGGTGGAAGAACAGGTGGCGCGAGAGCTGGCCCGCGAACTTGTCGAGGAGGGAGTACTCCTCGGGGTTGGTGTCGGTCGCCATGTTGGGAATGGCGGAAAATGAGATTTCCGGGTGTGCAATTTTCTGCGGAGAGAGGAGGAAAGGAGCCTGGAAATATCAAGAGCTCTCTGTTTTCGGGAAGCGGTGGAGGCGACTCTTTGCAGGAGGAGGGGGGTGGTTGTCGTCTACCAAGACACAAATATTATGGCCCTGGAGGGGTGGTCTTGGATTTTCGAGATTTTCGTGGGCAAGTGTGGGGTTTGCCTTGTTCTGGGTTTACCCGCGGTTGATCCGGCCTCGTTTGCCAGCAAATGTCACTCTTGGCGGCAGTCACGTGTTCAGGCGAGAGCGTTGAGCATTTTCGTGAAGGTCCAGAAAAACTTCAAGCAACGACGACGAGCTTAGATCATGCCCGCCGACGAAGAACCGCCGCAACCTCGCTCAATTAGCCATTTGAACTTATAATACCGAGCCGAACGACTCACCAGCGACAGCACCTCCGAACCTCCCAGTCCAGCACCCGTAATTATCCACATCTCCCTCCCCAGACGCTCTACTCACCATACACTTCTCTCTTTCCCTCACTCCAAAACCACCCAAGATGCGCCTCTTCCGCCTCGCCCAGACCCTTCCCACCCGCCTCCCCAACCTCCCCATCCGCCTCTACGCAACCGAATCCCTCACCATCCCCTCCTCCACAACCACAGCCACCTCCTCCGCCGCGACCTCCGCGACCACCACATCCACACCCTACCTCGTCTCCCGCACCAAATCGAACCGACTCCCTGTCTACCTCCGCATCCAGGCCGGCGGCTCCAAGCGCACGACGCTGATCCGCCGTATAGATGGAGATGCCCTCGCGCTGAAGGCTGATGTTCAGGAGGCTCTTGGGGTAGATAAGGCGGATGTTTCTTTGAACCCCGTGACAGGACATGTCGTCGTGAAGGTACTCCACATCCCAGTGCTATAAATACTTCAATAGTCCTCGGGCGGCTCTTCCTTTTATTTGGTTTTCAGTTGCTAACAGATTCGCCGATAGGGATCACACGTTCCTAGCATCACAGAGTGGCTCAAGACCAAGGGCTTTTAAAAGCTGGACTACATCTACGCCCGAAAGAAGAATAGGAAAGAGGACGCAATCCCGAATATTGCGCCAGGCTATCCCTGTACAACCACATGTACGCTGAGGTTAGGAGTTGGAGCAAGGTCGGCTATATCATAAGCAGCTTGGATATCGAACGCGACTGAGTTTATGAGTCGCACTGAGGGAGAAGTAATGGCCTTCACCTCCACAACTTATAGAGGCCCATCACGGCGTGTACAATATTTGAAGAATAAAGTGAGCTAGCGGGCTCAGGTTTCATAATATCCCAATGCAATTGTACAAGAACACTCTGCACTACTCTACATGTCGCTCGTGAGCCAACACGAGCCAGACCTGATCTTTGAAACTTTGATATTCGAACACCGCCCCTACTTCGCCTCCACGGCACCGTTTCCAAACAAAAGGCTTATAACCAATATCTAGCAAGTTCGAATTCCATTCACACGCCAACCTTCCGTAAAAACCTCCGTCCAACTCCGCTCTAAGAAAAATAAGGAAAAAAAAGAGACAGGAGGGAAAGCCATGCGCATCATCTCTGCAGGAGATCCGGAAACCATAGTGAGTGTCACTCCGCGATGATTCGTTTTCATCCAAGCTCCAACAGGTGTATCTGTGCATTACGATCCACTTCCCCCTCAAAAGCGAGAGACTGTGCCCAGCCTATGAGTCTAGCGTCAAGAAGCTCAATAACTGCTGCAGAACACCCTCCTTCGTCCACTCTGGCGAGGTCATCATCATCGCTGAAAGAACAGAGTCTGAAGTGGGCAAGGCTGACGGTGGGATTGATGTCGGATTGCTTGGATCCCTCGATTTCTCCATCAGACGGCGAAGGAGTGTGACACCCAAGACCACAAGGCACAGGAGCGAATCATCCGACCGAGGCTGTCCCCGTCCTGGCCCTCGTGGAGGGTTATCGAATTGACTGGCCACCAGCTGTATTAGACGGTAAATCCTTTGCGATAGCCCGTTGTGGCACGAAAGCCACGTCTTAACAATGCCGGCTTCGTAGCCAGGGGCAATCGATGCCAGGATCTCCGCAGCGAGTAATCCTTGCATTACGAATGGCTTCCTAGCTTCGACGAGGGGCGGTAGATGGGGCGGCCGGCCGTCGCGTGGTTGTTCAGGGATGGGTGATATCGCGAGGCCGAAGGCGCGTGTCAGCAGGTCGTAAGGGTTCGGGCCGTCGGCGTCGGCGGAAAAGATGATTTTGTAGTGCGACCTATTCGGCTCGTCCCTCGCCAGTAGCTTCGCCAACGAGTCAACTGCGTGAGGGAGGTAAGGATGAAGGGCAGGGTCGTATGACACAAAGTACATGTAACCATCGGCGAGGCTCGGTCCCGGAGTAGGGGCAAAAGCCAAGAGGAACTGTAAGAGACACATGGCCTGCTCGCGACCAGGGATTTCAAGTAGAACCGAGAGGTTGGACAAAAGAACCACCACATCCTTCATAAAGTCGAGTGTATTCGCGTTCGTTCTCAGCAACATGGTACGCGTACCGATATACCTAATGACGACACAGAGAAACTTGGTGACTTCCTCGTTGGCGAGAATGGGATGATTTGGGTTTTCCTCTCCTGGGAAAGAGAGATTCCTGAGGATCGTGGTAATGCAGACCAGGCGATCTACTGCTCTATCAAGTTCATATTCTTGAGAGCCGAAGGCAGAAACATCACGAACCATCAATTGTTCCACCCGACACGCCCGGACAACATCTTCGTAAGGGGTAAGGAGGATCTCGTCCGAGACCTGAACTGTGTGTTCGGCGAGAAGTTCGACCTGCTCCTCGGCGCAGTCAAGCAGGACATCAATCAGGTCGTCGCAATACTGAAGTTGGAGGAAGTGATGTCTCATTGGGGAGTTCGAAACGGCCGCCAGGGTGTCGAGGGCAAGGCGAACCTCCCCGTGGATGCCACTCTGGATACTGCGCGTCAGCGCTTGGATGTCGATAAAGCCGAGCTCATCAACTGGGGGTACATCGGGCTTCATGATTTCCAACTCAATGCCAAGCTTGTTGGCAGACTCTAGGTTCACGCCTCCATAGGTAGACTGCTGCCGAGAGCAAGGCGAATACTCATCGTCGTGCACGGGGCGGGGAAACGGCTGACCAACGGCGGTGGCTCCGGGAACGGGTACGCTAGAAGGACCATGCCCGGGGAAAGACATGGCACCAGGTTTGCCAGGAGCTGGAGAGGGCATCTGCAACTCCCCGGTCGGGCCGCCGGACGCTGGGTCGATATTTCGCGAGAGATTATTTCGGACATGCGCTGCTGGCATATTCGCCTGGCCAGGTTGAGGCCCGTGAGGACCAGAGAAGCCGTTAACAGCGGGTTGCTGGCCAGGCTGCATAGCCTTAGGTGTTGGCGGATGGTGACCAGCTCTTGGCATTGGGGATTGACCTTGCGGCAACATTTGAGGCTGGCCGCGACCCATTTGCTTAGTCGGGGTGGCGGGTACCTGGTTCGAAGGGATAGGTTGGCCCTGGATGACAGGCGGCTGCTGTGCCGGCTGCTGTTGAACCTGTGGTTGAGGCTGGCCCTGGAGGTGAGGCTGTTGTTGTTGCTGCATCATCTTCCTTTGATTCTGAGCCATCAACGCCTCCTCGAACTTAAGGAGGTTGCGATCATAGATTGCTCTCAGCATCTGCGGTGCCGCGGGCATTTGGACGGGGTGGAAACCTATTTGACTCGAGACATGAGGCCACATGTTTGCCGCAGTGACGGCTTTGAAACCGCCCCTTGATTGCACCTGCTGGAAGAGCAACAGGAGATTGACTGGACGATCCGCCAGGGTCGGGCTAACGTCCAGTGGGAGTCCCTTGGCGTTCATGAAGGCTGTCAAATTCTTCATAAACGATTCGGGGTCTGGGCGGGGCATGGGACGCGCTTGCGGTCTCATACCAGGCTGCTGCATTTGGTGGCCGTTGGGTCCCTGAACCGGCTGCTTCGCCATCATCCCGCGACCGGCTTGCATGTTTTGAGGGTGCATCTGGGGAGGCATCTGCATATTGGCCATGCCATGCATTTGTTGCATGTTTCCTTGTTGCATTTGCCGTTGAAGCTGCATCTGATAAAGCTTTTGTTGCTCTGCAGCCGTACGAGCCTGTTGCATTTGAGGGTGGAACATGGGATTTGACATCTGGTTTATCTGCTGTTGCATGTGCGCCATCTGCTGCGGGCTCATCCCCTGCGCCATACCCATCGGGGGCATCTGCGGCATTTGCTGGGCCATCGGTTGGCCCATTTGCTGAGGCATCATTTGCATTCCCCCGGCCATTGGGTTAGGGCTCTGGGATGGACGCGTCGGAGTCGGCATCGCGCCCATGTTGGGGTTAAACCCAGGAGCCATATTCTGCATGTATGGGTTCGGCTGAGGCGTGCCATGATCAGAGGGTACGGGCGAGCCTTGAGGTGCAAACTGTTGCGTGCTCGGGGAAAAGGGATGAGGTGAAGCAGTCGAGACGCGTTGGGGAACGCTTCCAGGTCGTAGTTGTTGGTTGCCCATCATCGGAGATGGAGTTGCGTTCGCAGAACCGTTTGGCTGGAGATGAGGGTATTGTGGTTGGCCGGGGTTCTGTTGAGGCGTCGGTTGAAAACCGGGAAACGCGCCCTGTTGCGGTGTTTCTGACCGCGACGGTGGGAGCATACCGGGATTCTGTCGCGGAGATGAGGCCATCACATCTTCGTGCGGGCGCGGACGCTTCGATGGTATTACGGGGTTGGTTTGATAAACGGGGTTTTGGTAGGTCGGGGAGGCATTTCGCATCGCGCCATTAGGCATCGGGGGGTTCATTGGCTGCTGAGGATTCTGAAACTGGGCGGGATTGAATTGGCCAGCGTTGGCCATGAACGCGGTGGAAGGGTCCATCATGGTACCGGATAGCGACGGGTCGTTCATGTGAGGGAAGATGTTTCCATTGTGGTTGGGAGCAACGGATTCATTCATCCAGGTGCTCATGACTGTTTGGGGCGACAACCCATGAGATGGGTACTTGAATCGGTTAGCAGATCGCGCAGGCAAATATCGGATAAAAGAACATTGAAGACGAAATCCTCAAGGCAATAATAAATTATTCGAATGAAATGAATAGATGTAAAACGATTGGGTTGGTTATGTCGCGATAAAAAAAAATTGGATGGACGAAAGTCGCGTCGCCGCCAGCCTTGGGCCAGCTGTTTTTTCGTCTTGGGTGATGTGTCGGGGAAAGAGAAAAAAGTGAAAGGGCAAGGCGAATTGTGGCGGAAGAGTTGGGAGAGGGAGATTCAAATTAGGGAGACAAATCAATGGCTTCAGTGGGTGGCTGTAGGGGTTCAGTGGAGTACAGTTGGAAAGTGGGAATGCGACCGCAGCGCTGAGCAGGGCGGTAGCAGGTTCTGGTAGCGACTCCAACCCACTGATCTAGACACCGCGTTTAGGGGGTCATTGAGGTACCGCGACGTATTGTGAATGGGGAAGAAGCAGAGGCAGGTACAAAGTAGTGTCAAGTGCCAGGGGAGGGGGGAAGGCACAAGAGGGAGCAGCGAAAGAAAATGGGAAAGTGACAAGTAGAATTGGAGGGGGAAGAACGACAATCGCAGGTTCGCTCGAGGCAGAACAAAGCCAATTCAGCAGCCTCGCGGCAGCCCCAACAGGTCTAGAACGGGATTTCCATCTAATCCTCGAGCGAACAAATGGTAATCGCGTCACGAGACAATATGGAATTGGCTTTGTCGATAGTACGCGACGGATAGGGTGGGTTAGGAAAATGCAGCATGTACGGAGGACGGAGTCCGTGGTGGGTGGCAGCAGACCAAGCCTCTGGTGAACCCAGGGGTACGAGACGAGCAGAAACAATACATCAACGAGCAGGTGGATCGCGGGCAGGGCTCGATCAAAAGAATTTACCCTGTGTAAGAAAAGCTAAGACTTACCTAAACGTGTCGCGCGTGTTATCTTCACCGTGAAGCGCAGGGCGGATGGATGGGGACGGGGGGAAGAGAGAGGATTGG